TAGACTCTAAAATCTTTTTACCCACATTTACCTTGAACTTCAACTATCTTAGACTCATAATATTCATAGTCGTCTGCTTTCTTTGGTTCATAAGGTATAACAAGTTTGTATGCTTTGCCTTCTTTAAGGTTTGAGAACCTTCTGTCAAAATTTTCTTTGACTGCTAACAAACCTTCTATGTCTAAGTCTTCAAATTTCGCACCATTTTTAGTCACAATAGCAAACTTAACTGGTTCGATGTTCCAAACTTTTGTCAAATGTAGACTTTTCAAAATGGTAGAAGTAAACATTCAAATATGTGAATGGAGCTAACTTATCTTTGACTTCTGACATGTACTTATTTACTGAAATATATTTCGTCATCTTTTCTATCGGATAAAAAAATATTTTTTTTAAATTTACTCAGAAAAATTTTTCTTTGTATATACGCCATTCTGAACATCTAAAAGACTTTTGACATTTGCCAAGAATGTACGTTTAGAAGCTGCCATATAACCATACTCTTGACAATATTGTTTATACGAATCGTACAATGACCTTTCATCTAATGACACAAAGTCAGTTTCATCTATGAACAGTTCATATACACTCTTGTTTGCTTCTAACAATGTTTGTCTCTCTTCGGTATGTGGAATTTGTCTTGGATTGAACTTAGAAATATCTAATGTCATGAAATATGAGAACAAGTGGTTGTAAAAGTCAGATGTCAAAGTTTCTCTGAAAGTCGTCAAAATATTCTGTATCTTGCATATGAGAATCTGACGTTCTGACAACTACATATCTTCTGTCAGAACTTTCTAACTTCATCGGAACAACATTGTTTGAAACCATAATGAAGTTTGCAACATTTTCACAAACTCTTTGGTCTTTATACTTTCTTTCAACAACTCCAACTTTGTCTGTTATAAGACTCTTCAAAGCATCTGAGTTCAAAACTTTTGTTGTATCTATACTTTGAAGTTCATTGCAAACTATAAGTTTCATATTCTCTATTGAAGAGTTAAATTTACCGCAGATGTTTTCTAAGTTTGTCATATTAGGGTTCGAATAGCCTCTAACAGTTTGCACAAAATATCTGTAAAGAAAGTGTTCTTACCTGTTCCTTGTTTTCCAATTATAATGAGAGCAGTTTCATTTTTAGCACTTGGATGTTGTAAGATGTTTGCAAACCAACATAAGATATACTCATAGACTCTTTCGTTTCCATTGCATATAATTTCTTTGACATGGTCTAACCAAGCTTCTATAATATTTTCTTTCCATTCTACTTGTTCGTATTTATATCCAGTGAAGATAGAATAGAAGTTTGGAGAAGGTGTATAGAACTTTATACCACGAACTGAAAAATCTTCTAACTTTGACAATAAGATATCCCAAGCATCTAACATCTTCATGCCAACTTGTACAACTTTTATTTTCTTAAGTTTCTGTCTACATTCTTGTTCTGAACTATTGTTGCTCTTGGTTTGTTAAAGACAACATCCCATTCTTTCATACATAACATTCTGGGGCAGAGTCGACATAAATGACTAAACGTTTCAAATTCTCGACTGCTTTGTTATAGTCTCTAAATGGACACATATTTCTGAATGCTTGGAAGTCATAAAAATCTGAAACATCTATTCTGTACATTTTTATAAAAATAAAAAAAATATTTTTTTTATTCTTGACTTTGTTGTTCCATTTGTTGCATTTGTTGTTCTTGAGCTATTTGTTGTTGAAGTTGTTCTTGTAATACAATACTTTCACCAGTTGCATCTTCCAATTCGAAACTTTCTGCCGTCATTGACAAATACATAGGACATAAAAGTTTTACAGGAACAAAGTTTGCGTCAACTAATGTCAACGTTATACTTGCCAAAGTGTTTGAGTTCACTAAGGTTGAAAATTCTGCATTCGAATGAACAATAGGCAAACCAGCAGAGAAAGTGTTGTTTATACGCATAAGTATCTTTTGGTCATAATAGTTTCTGTCGACATTCGAATAACACTTTGAACCTAAGTTTGAAACAATATATAAAATAGGTGTGCTTAAAGTCAATGGAAGACATTCCTTGTATGACACCTTTTCCTGTTATAGGAAACTGTTGGTAGTAAAAACCAGAAATAAGTTTTGTATTATAGCTCATATCGTTTATAGTAAACTCAGTCGGACATCCAAACATAATGAAACCTGCTCTAGTTGCAGCACATGTTACACTCCGTCCTTAAAGTATTAAATAAGTCAACAAAACCTGTTGGTGGTATATCTGAGTAAGTATCTTCAAAGGAGTATTTTTTACCATTCACAACAATAAAGTCTTCTGGTGTCAAAAGAGCAAAACAGGCTTTAGTCGTCATTGTGTTTAAGGTTAGTTTACAATATCGTCCTTGAGGACTTTGTAAGTTTGTTGTTATAGAATTATATGACTCAGGGTTTTTAGTCGTAATAGTATAAACCATTATGTCTTCTGCCATTTACTTAGCAAATAAATTTTAATGAAATGTTGTGGTCGTCAAATATTTTTATAACGTCTGGGAAACTATATTTAAGTTCAACGTTTCACCTCCTTTCATAACGTATATCTTGTCAATGACATTATATGAAACACCACAGCAACTAATGTCGGGTTCTATTTCTTTGATGTTTATATCGTCTGCCTCTGTCAAAAGTTTCAATAGTTCTTTCAAAACTTCATGAGGTGCAATGACATATGAGTTCACTTTTACAGGGTTGTGTTCGACCAAGTTTAACATTATACTAAAGCTTGACAAATCTTCTCCTGAGTTTGAAGTTTGTCTTTAAGTTGTTGGTAGTCGTTTCGAATATCTGCAACAGAACTTAAGTCTCTGCTAACTTCAGGATATGTTGGTTCTTTTACAGGAACAATTGTTATACCATCTTCGTCTTCGTATGGTTTCCCCACTTCAACATCTCTGTCTTTGACATTGACAACAACACTTTGACTGTTTGTTTGAGTTGGTGAATTTAACTTCACATCTGCCACCGCCATTAAACCTTTTGAAACACTTACGCTTCTATTTTTCGGAAATGACATTTTACTTAGAATAAAAAGATGGACGTATTCGAGTATCTCTTCGAATTGAAGCAGAACAAAGTTTACACACACAAACAATACAAATTCATTGACAGAATAGTTCTTTACACAAACAATGGAAAATGTTATAGAATAGCAGTCTTTGCTGAACCAAAATATTTTCATAAAGCAAAGAAAGTTGGTATAACTGAAATGGTGAAAGTTCTTGAAGCAGACAAAAATATAAAACAAAACTGACAGATATTTCTAAAGGTAAGTTTATAATACAATTTATGTCAAAACTGGCGTACTGTCAATATTTGACGGAGAGAAGTCAGTTCAAGAACAACTTACTGACCTGCTGCCAAAATCTGCTCGATGGAAGCTGTCGTTATGCCAATCTGAGGAGCCCCAGCAGGTTTCATCGAACGAATCTTCAAAAGAGCATCTTCCGTGAAAAGTGCTATTGGTTTTGTAAACTTCTTTGCTCTCAATTCATCTGGACCGTCTCTGTCACCAGTATATTGTATTTGTACTGTACCAACAGTTGAAATACCACCCATAAAGTCTTCTGAGTCAGCAAATGGAATGCCAAGCCAAAAGTTTGAACGGTCTCCATTTGTATATTGAGTTTTTTGACCTCCTGTATGAGTCCATACTTTCACATATGGCATAATAGAACTTTGCATTTCAGGGTTAATGGTTGTTGTGAAGTTGTTGTTAAAGTTCATAGCATCTAATGTCAAGTTGTATGACCTCATATCCTCAACTGTAGAATATTCTTCTCTTGGATAATATTTGCCATCTATGTTTATATGATATTTAATACCAGGGTTGTAGAAACAAGAATAGTCATTTATAGTTCGTCTGAACAGTACAAACATAGTATCTGCATGTTTCATTGCAGTTGTTAAAGCAATATCTGTTCTTGCACCTGGGTCAGCACTTTGGTTTCCAACTTCACCTGCAAAGTCTTTGACAGATATTTGGTGTATAGGGAACATAAGTGGAACTGCAATATATTTGGCAGCTAAAGCATTTGAAATATCTGGGTCCAACATATAGACTGCAAGTCTGCTTTCTATTCTCTTGCATTCAAATTTTCGCATGTGAACTTAACTGGGTCCCAAGCATTCCAGCAGCATTGAAATAATAGTTTACTTCAGTGTTGAAGTTTGAGAAACCAAAGTCTAAGTCAACTTTGTCTTTGCAAAAGTCGGCGAATGACTTTTATTTGTTCCCTACTCTGTAAGAGTGAATGGGTCTTGTGTTGGTGCAATGACTAAGTTATTTTTGCTTGGAGTAAGTTCGATAGAAATTTTTCCTGCCCAGTTTGGCAAGTATCTTAAAAACCTGAAGATGAGGAAAGATGACAAAGGAACTCTAAGTTTCAGTTTTACTTTGGTTACTGCTGCTGCAGTTTGTCCAGAAAGGTTAACATAAACTCCTGGAACGTTAGGGTCAAGTCTTCTTATTTTCTCAATAGTTGCATACTGGTCTGTTTGTTCTCTAGCTTGTGGTTGTACTGAGTTTCTCAAAGCGAACCATTCATAGTTTGCCCATGTTACTGTTTGAACTAAGTCAGAGTTAGAATATATCTTATATCCCATGAAAACTTCTGGAGCATATTGGTATCCGACATAGAAAATTCCATTGCAACCTTTCTTGTCAGACAACTTGGCAGAAGGTTTTATTTCAATATCTTGTTCCACGTATAAGAATGAGTTGTCAATAGAAATATATGAAACCTGTCGCAAGCAATATCTACTGTTGTTGAAGAACCTTCACCAAACTCACCTACATTTCCATAAGAAACAGCAGTTGTATATTCGTAAGTTCCAGGAACTATTTCTGACCTTCTAATGGCATTGTCGCATTCGTTATACCATTCGGAAACATTTCCGTTCATAGCATCCAAAATTGTTGGCGTTATATTCTGAGCGGCGTACATTTCATATGGGTAAAAATATAGAATAGTTGGATTTATATATCATAATAGAACCCACGTGGTACAAGCTTTACATTCTTCCTGACTGAGTTTTGTTGCATCTTTGCCTCATGTTCACCTAGTATGTTGTAAATTTCCCATGTCCTTTTTGCCTTTGGGCTCTGGTCGCCCATCTCAGGTAACCTATATCCTAGAAAGATTTTGTCATAGTTTGTATTTGAGTCTTCGCGTATTGTTTGCATGACTCTTTCCTGAGTTTCCGGTTCAAGCTCTTCAAATATAGCTTGTCCATATGGAATAAGCTCGTTTCCAAATATATGTTTTTGTAGCCATTCTGGTTTTCTTTCCATGTAACCAATAATATCTTTTGTGAATGGGAAAGCTTTTACCCAACGTTTCAGGCTTGCGTCATTTATTTCTGTAGTTGGTTTTATTTTGTCAAGGAACATGTTTTTCAATACTAACATTTCATTTGGTACTGTCCATTTGAGTTTTCTTAAATATTCATCCCTTCTCATTTCATTGTCTGCAAAGTAAGTTTTTATGACATTTTGCAAACTTTCGTTTGCAAGGTCATGTACAATAGGTTCTCTTCCTTCTATCTCCCTAACTCTCTTTCTAAACTCTTCACCAAATATACCATCTCTATGGTTCTGTGTAGTTCTTTGAGATAAATGTTCTAGAACGTCAGGTGTTATATTTCCATCAGCCATGTTCATTTCATACTGGTTCAAAATATCTGCATCTTTCATATCTTTCAATGGCATTAAAGCCGCGCTGAAAATACCAGCTATATCTGGTTCACCATTCACTTCCATTGCGTCTACAACTTCTTGGAATTGTGGTTGTAAGTTTATGAACCACCTATCCGGATTAGCTTTATGACCCCATCTCATTGTAGTTCCATCGTCTGCAGAAACAAAAGTAGGTTTGTTTCCATATTGGCTAGGTTCTGAATGAACTTTAAACAATGTTTCATTTCTATATGTTTTGTTGAAATTTAACCTTTTATTTTCACCGAGTTCATCCAAAGATTGAACGTTATATGCTCGTAAGTAAAAAGGATTGTTGTATTGGCGTACATTTTCTTTCAGTTCTTCCATTCTATGCTGAATATTTTCATCTGATGTTGGAGTCTTTTGTATGTCGGTAAAAATTTTTCGATATTCTTCTACTCTGTCAGCCGAATTTTTCTTAGACTCTTGGAAAGATTCCATATTCTCCGCATACACTTGTTGAGGGTCAAGATTTTTCGGCTGTTCCAAATCTTCATCTAGTTCTGTGAAGTTAGTTTCCAAAGGAGGGACTTGTTTGTTTCCTTCAGGCTCTTCTAGCTGTTGTTGCTGAACTATTTCTTCCATGTCTGGTTGTATCTGAACTTCTTCCTGTTGAGTTTCTTGCACCTCATCTGGTGGCATTTCATATATTCCGAGACCGTTTTTAACAAGTTCCCTATTTAAGTCATCCGCATTCATAACCCTTTTTTCTTTCGTTCCGTCTCTATTTTTTACGCGTTTCATGAAGATAGTTGAATTATCATTTATCTCTGACATAAAATATCTCGGAGTAAATTCATCCATGTCATTTGGCTGATATGCTATTAAATCATATCCCTTAGCGAGCTTGTATTTTCCAGGTTTGAGATTATATCCGATTTGGTGCTGAGCCATAAAGCTAAATAGGTTCGGGTCAGTATTTCCTCCCTTGAACTTTTTAATAGCTTCTTTATATCTGTCACTAAAGTCAAGAGTATCTGGGTAACCATAACCTTCCTTAAGCATTTTTAAGAATTCTTGGTTTCCTTGTTCTCTACTTCTTTTATGTCCTTGCTCTGTTTGTGCTGGTTGTTGTGCTGGGTTTTGAACTGTTGGTTGTTGTGCTGGTTGTGGAGGTGGTTGTTGTGTTGGTTGTTGTGCTGGTTTTGGTTGTGGTGCAGGTGCTGAATTTTGAACTGCTGGTTGCTGTGCAGGGTTGTGAACTGTTGGTTGCTGTGCTGGATTTTGAACTGTTGGTTGTTGTGTTGGTTTTGGTGCATGCTTGTGTCTGTGTCCATGTGACGATGTAAATGTTTTAGGTAGTCCTGGTGCAGGTGCTTCTCTTGGAGGGTTTGGTGGTATATAAGTTCCACTAGCTAGTATATAAGTTCCACCAGCTGGTATATAAGTTCCACCAGCTGGCACATATGTTCCATCTGCAGCATAATGTCCTACCTGACTTTTCGTTCTTAAGAAAGCATTTACTAGGTCTGTTTTGGTCTGTTGTAACTCTTTTTCTTGACTTTCCACAACAGTTGCTCTAACGGCGTCATAGGCACTTTGAACTGCCTGTCTCGTTGCTGCATCTGTTATTTTCGTCATATTTTGTGCTACTTCTCTTAACTCGTTGTCGAAACCTTCAGACTTCAGTTTCTTTCCAGATGAGAAGTCGTTCACTAGTTTCACCTTACTATGAAGAGCTTCGAAGGCGTTCTTAAAGTCAGCATTCGTTAAAGCTTCATTTGAACTGTCTTCATCCGCTTGTATTTTTGTCCTTATTGACCCTATAAGTTGGGCTGCTTTAGCGTTGGCTTGGGCATCTAACCAGTCATTGTTAGCTTTTATATATTCTGCGCTTTTCATTGCCTTTTGCATGGCTGCGTCGTTATTTTTACTTTCTTGTGCTAAGTTTTCATACTGTACGGTTTGGTTTTGCAACTGTAAAAGTTTTTCTGCCTTTACATTTGCTTCAACTTCATTTTTATACTCATCGCTATCCATATATGTCTTCAGGGCTTTTTGTTTTATTCTTCATCTTTCAGTACTTTATATTGAGTAGTATGGTTTTTCAAATTTATAACATCTTGTTCCATTTTTGCTACTTCTGCTGCTTTTTCTGACACTTTTTTCGCATATTCCTCTGTACTTAGTTCTTTCAGTTGTTCTTCTTTCTTCTTTTTCTCTACGTTTAACTCATTGAGTTTCTTTGTGTGTCTGTCATATTCTAGTTTCTTTTCGTTTTCACTTATTTGTTTCTGTATGTCTATGTTTGACTTTTTGACATCTGTTATTTGATTTTTGAGTGAACTCAAATTCATTTGACTTTGAGGGTTATAAGCTGTTCCGTCTGCAGCTCCACCATAGCCTGCCATTTTCGCTAAAAGTGCCGCTCTTAAACCTCCACTCTGTGCACCAATAACTCGGTTTAAAAGCATAGGGTTGCTTGACATTTGTTGCAACATAGTGGGGTCATTCATCATTTGTTGTTGCAACTGTTGTTGTGGTGTCAGTTTTACTATTGGATGTTTCAATGCTCTCTTCCTCTTACGTATATTCTTACGTAGCTTACGTGGCATTTTAAGTGAAGTTAAAAAGCGGTTTTTGACAGATGTTTATATGACACTTTTTGTTCAGCACAAAAAACTACTCGGTCAAAGTGTTGTCAGTTTTGTAAAATAACCGTCCTATCTCATTCTATAAGGGGAAAAGGCTTCTCAAAGTATACTTCCTTGGAACGCCTGTAACTTTTCCTGTAGCGACGATAGACCCTTACTTGTCCGGACAAAGTTATACTATTTTGAGTGCTCTACAAAAAAGTCAACGGCGACGACTCTCAAAAACCGTTGTGTAAAAAGTTTTACCGTTGGACAAAAAAGTATATATAGAAAACAAAAAACGTTTATAGTTCATTCAATATTTGAGATGGAACGGTTTTCCAACGGTAACTATTAAATAAAATAAAAAAATAGAGGGGGTTACCGTTGACGAAAACGGTTTATCTCAAACTTTTCTATGAGTGGTCCGAAAAAAACAGTTCATTTTTCATAATGTACGCGTCTCGAACAGTGAAGCCCAATTCAATAGAATACTATCTCGAAAAACAAGAAGCTGACACTGCTATTCAGTCTTTAATACAGAACCAAGCTCAGGAGAACTCAAAAGACTCCCAATTCAAATCGACATCCAATTCGAAGCAATTAAAACTTGACTCGAATGTTTTAAAACCACAGCCCGCACGAACAAATACAGCTCTAAGAATAGACCAAAGAATACCGAACAAAGAGTTGAGGTCAAGATTGAAATTACAATCGGATGAGTATTTTTCCCTTAACAACCAGGGAAATACTCCATATAACCGTATCTACACAAATACCGTTAAAGAAACAATAACGGCATACACAAAACTCTGTCAATTGGTCCCCAACCAGGACCAATTGACGGACATTATATGTTCCTACCTTCCCATATTTGCTGAGTGTGTGGAAGGTAGGACATTGTTACAAGCTTGCTTACGTATGCCACCAAATCTCCGTCAACAATTTGCTCAAATTGTACATGAATTTAAAGCTTTTAACAACGGATACGATGAAGATGAAGTAGCAGATGAATTTGGGGAAGAAAAAACATTTTTCCCCTCATATAATACGCCTGCAACAGTATTTCCTACTAATGAATTTCACAACTATTGTGTCGTTCATTTCATTGTTGTGGATATGCCCACAGGTGAAGACATTCTCAGTGGTGACTTCATCGAAGTCTGTATCAATACAGAATTGGGAGAAGATGAGTTGCACAAATTCTCCTACGTCGAACATATATTCAAACCAGCACACCAACTCTTTATCGAAACTGAAATAACACTCACACAAAATATGTCCATCTCATTTAAATCCAAATCAGGACGTCCATACAGAATTTGGATGAACTACGTCCTCTTCCACTACGCCGACGATGACGAAGAAGAGGAAGAAGAGGAGGAGGAAGAAGAAGAGTCCTCCGAATTCACACCAGAAGACGAACAATTTTCCGAATAAAAACTTCATTTATACTAAACATCTTCGGGGCTAGAGGGCACGAAGTGCCTGGAAGCCCCACTACCTTTTTTTTTTTTTTTTTTTTTTTTTTTAAAAAGTCACACAACCCATCCTATCCTACTACTATAAAAGGTGACCAAACTATTTTTTGAAAGTCCGCCATAACTTTAATGGTACTATTTCAGCGTGTACAATGAATACAAAAATTCTAAGAGTGCCACATAAAATAGTACTTTAGACTTGAGTTAATGCTACCAAGCAAATGTTAAAAAGATGACTTTAGTGTTTTGATAATCAAAGATTAAAATCATTATTGTCTAAATCAATAATCATAACGACAGAAGTTAATGTTTTTTCATCAGTGCTTTAAATCCACTTTTAAAAGTATACCTCAAAAATCAAAATATCAAAAAAAATTGGCCGATAGGTTTGGCTTTAATTTTTGTCTGCTTTTATGATTTGATATGGATGTTATAATTTTAAAAGTTGAGCCAAATTCACCAATAGATTTTTGAGATTTGCAAATACTCAATAATTTTCAGCGTGTTATCTTTTATTAAAAGAACTATTTGGTTTCAGTATCATATAAATTGATATTTACTTTCTATTTGAACCTTCATTTAGCTAATGATTTAATAATACAGATTTCATCTAGTCCTTATAAGAGAATTTTGAATTTGTTATAATAAAAAAACAAACAGATATAGCTTACACTTCTATAATAAAGATACCTTTTATAGAAATCAGTATGAAATGTGTTTTGGCTTATTGGAAGCATATCAGACATAATCGCCATAATCAAAAAATCTATATACCCAATAAGTAACAAATTTGTCGATATAGATTTTCCATAAAATTAGTTTTTAGTCTGATCTTAAAATAAATTTAATTTTTTATAAAAAAAATCACATTTAAAAGTATCTTTTTAGTAGCTCGAAATCCTGTTGGTGGATTTCGGGCGTACTTCAAAATTAGCTTTTCTTCGAGGGGGGCACAAACTTGCCCAGTGAGGTGAAGTGAAAAGTGACAAGTTTACGTGTCAGAAATGTAAAGTGTCAGATTTGAAACAAAAAATGGATTAATTTATTATTATATGATAGAGAGATTTGGTAAGTTACTATCAAATTTGTAAGTAAGGGAAAAAAAGTAAGAAAGAAAAAAAATTAAAAAAAAAATAAAAAGCCACTCGCTTCGCTCGCGGGAGACAAAAAGAACAAATTCGAAAAAAGATTATATGAAATTACGAAACTAAGCCGCGAGCGAAGCGAGTGGCTTAAGAAAAGAACAGATTCAAAAAAAGATTGTATGAAATTACGAAACTAAGCCACTCGCTTTGCTCGCGGCTTAAGAAAAGAACAGATTCGAAGAAAGATTGTATGAAATCTTAATTCTTTATTTTTTAGGATTGTTAGCTTTGTAAGATTGCTTTCTCACAAGAGAAAACAAGTATAAGGTTTAAGCTGTATGTATTAAAGTTATAAATATTTGATTTTAAAAAAAATCAAGATTTTAAACTTTAAAGGTATTAATTATGATTATCTTTCTTTAGCTTTGCATGCTGTATGCTACTTTTGGAAACTGCTCTATTGTATTAGAATGTTTTTAAATTTTGCACCTAAAAATGCGTAATATTAAAAATTAAGGTATTAATTATGATTATCTTTCTTTAGCTTTACATGCTGTATGCTACTTTTGTCTTTGAGACATTCCATGATTTAAGTTAAGAAGCTTTAAAAAAAATGCAAAAAAAATTGAATACTTTACTGGCTGGGCAAATTTGTCGCCGCCCCGCTTTTCTTCTACATATGCAAGCTATATTTTAAATATGGAGCAAATCGGATCGGCGAAAGGAGTTTAGTTACCTTTCTACTATATGTCAGAGTTTTACACTATGCCCAAAAAAATTGTATCTTTAAGGGCCCCAATTCTCTTCTTTGAATACACCTGTTTAATAACAATAAATTATTAACTCTTATTGAAATTTTACAAAAAATGTTCAACGCAATTTGTAGTTTTGAATGGTCTCCTGATCCTACTGATATCAAACAATTAGATATTCACCCAAAAGATTATGACATATCAGATGATATAGTTCAGATTAAAGGCTGTTGTTTTCCGGCAAACATTACTTCAGATAATAATGGCGTTCAAGTCTTTAATACGAATAATTATACAGGTCATTCATATGTATTCCCATTACATGATAAGTACTATGCGATTGTAATCTTAACAGTATCATTTAAACCTTGTTTGTTTACTGACTTTTTAGAATCCGTTAAGAAGTCATTACTTGAAGATACCACAAGTGACTGTGATGTGCGCTTTGGACTCATTCGCTCATTATTAACATCATGGGAATTAAGTTCTGAAAAACTTATAGTTAACTATCCATTTAACCAATTTACAATCGATTTAGCTGCAACAGAAAATTGGACGCAATCATACGATATTTCTCCAGTCAGTTCTGCAATAGATCCAATCTGGAAATCTCTTCTTTCAAATCAAGGAATATTGATACTAGGTGCCACTGCAGAGATATGCTCTAATGCTGTACTTGCTATTTTATCAATTATCGAGCCATTGAAATACTATGATCCACTTTTAATTTATACAAAAAGTGGAGATCCAAGATTTCAAGAGATTCTTGATGGATCAACCAAATACAAGCTTGTCGGAACTACTGAAGCCTTCCAACCTAAAAAAGGCCAGTTCGGAGTCGTAATTAATATTCCAGACGGACATTTTACCCCATGTCCAGAGTTACAAAACCAGTACCAGCAAAAGACCACAAGGTTCTTCTCAGTAGTGCTATCCGCAATGAATCAAGCGCTTTATACAGATCCATACTTTGATATTCTCGAAAAACCTATTTCAAACATACAAACTTACACCCAGAACTCACCATTATTCCAGAAGCAGTTCTTTGACAGAGTAGAAAAGACTGAAACATTCAGACACTGGAGAAATCGCAAGAAAATTCGAGAACAAACACGAGGGGCATTTCTTTCGGTTCCATCGTCAGAAGCTCTGAAAAAGCTCCCTGATGACAAGCTCATCGTAGCTCAGGATGAAGTTACCCGGATTTATAACACTGCAAACGGGGATCAACACTACCAAACTGTGCTGAAAATACATCTGAAAGCTATTGCAAAGAGAATCAAAGGACTTCCTGTTGTTATTGAATGAATAAAAAAAATATGTTTGCTTATATTTAATTTAAAAGATTATTTAAGTCTTAAAAGATGAATTTATTTAATATTATGCTGGACATGAAATAACTGAATAAAAAATGTTCAATAGAATTTTGCTTCCTTCTTAAGAATTTATTTCCTTTTAGCATTTCATTATGATGATCTTATGATAGATTAGATTCTTTACAAAGTCGGATAATTTTTATTTCTTCACCCAAAATAAATGGAACCAGATGCAAAAGACGCAAACCGAAAAGAATCATTTATGAGGAACTTCTATTTGCTTTTACATATGATTGCATATCCAATGTATTTTATTACCAAAAATGCAAACTTATATAAAAGTTTTGTATCAGATTGCCCAGTTTACTTTATAACTATCACTCTCTCATTTATGGTAATGTTGTGGTTCTATTCTCACTCTTGTCAGGGAGCTGGATATCAAACAGAAGAACCGAAAAATATAGATGGCCTTTATTTCTCAGAAGCAGCCGGGATTCATCTTCAAGTTCGTGCAGGATATTGCAGATGGTGCAAAAAAGTTATTTTAAGACGTGACCATCATTGTCCATGGACAGGACATTGCATTGGGCGTGATAATAACCTTTATTTCTTAATTTTTACCTCATCTGAAGCTGTCATTATATCTATTGTAATATTTGATATACTTTACAGCTTTTATCATTCATTCATCGCAAACGATTATCTTTGGAATATTGTACAAGGTGCTATTACCCTAGGCCTTGTAGGATCTGCTTGGTACATTACATTTTTCATTACCATTCAAACGCTAAATTCAATTGCAATTAATATGACCATTTGGGAGTTTAAATGCCACGACAGAATTACTTACCTTGAAAATTGGCCGCAATGGGCCAGCCCATTTAACAAAGGGCTTGTTAACAATTTTATCGAATTTTTCACAATGAAATACAGAAAAACAGAGTGGGAAATGCCTAAAAGGCCAAACTTACGGAATTTGATAGTTCCTGATGACGTTAAATATAACTATGACAGAGCAGTGAAAAAAGGTTTAGTGAAACCACCACAATAATCACAGAAATAGAGACATATTGAATTTCCAAGTATTTGCATTTATATATTGATGTATGGTAGATAATTTGTTTGAATAAAAATTCAATTTTGATAAAAAAAAATTATGTATTCGTTGAAAATATTTGACTTTTATATATTTTTGGAACTTTTCACAGCATAAATGGCCGCAAGAACGCATTTTTAGTATTCATTCAATTAATTTTCTTAATATTCATGTTTACGTCCCGACGTTAGCGTATAAAGAAAAATTATAATAATTGAATACAATAAAATATGAGTATTAAATTTTTTGTATATATTTTAATATTTTATTTTTATAATTTTATTCGAAATAGCCAAGGATATCTTCTTCAGCAATAACAACATATTCTTCCTTGCCAATCTTAACTGGCTGGCCGCCAAATTGTGGAAGAAGAACTTTCATTCCTGGCTTGACAGTAGTTGGATAAAGCTTTCCATTTATTGTAGCACCTGGACCAACAGCAACAACTGTAGCCTGGTTGGTGGCCTTCTTAGCTGAATCTGGAACGTATAAGTTTCCGATCTTTCCATCTTTGAGTGTATGCATTTCAACAATAACGCGTGAACCTGTTGGGGCTAATCCCTTGAAGCTGAAACGAAGGCCAAATGTGTTTAATGATGTGAGCATTTTAGAGAATAAAAGTGACCGGCTAATTTTAATCGTTCTTCTCAATTCCGATTATTGTAAATTTCTCCGATCATCACACAATTCCAAAAGTTTTTATAATTAATAAGGAATTATAATTTTCCGTAAATACATTATAATCATTTTGTTTCCATAAATATTTGTTATTCTTCAAATTTTTGATATTTTGTTTTACGCCTTGCTCATTTGATTCATTCAACAAAAACCATTAATTTATTCAATTAATAGCAAAAACTCTTTGAAATTGAAATATATAAATATTTTTATTTAAAAAAACATGGTTACAATGCTTAAGAAGTCATTGTCAACATGTAGTGCATTAAACCAAATTATCCAGACAGTATTTGATAGATCTTAGCTCAAACAAATTTTCGAGAAATATTGTTAATAACAAATACAAGAACAGATTTCAATTGTGTGCAGAAATTATGTAAATCAATTGATACGGTTGCTTGGACGTTTTGATTAGATCCTCTTACATAAATCATCTTAAAGATAGAAAACTGCTTTCAGATTTAACATTAAAGTTAAAAACGCATTTTCATTGTTGGATGCTGGTTAGGATTTAATTGCATGATTTCACAGAATATGCAGTAAAAAAATAAAATTTTGGAATAATTCTCATTCTGAACAATTTCTTATCTAATTGATTTGGTTTCAATACTAGTTTTTGTCAATGAATTAGGAAACATTAGCCAGAACATCATCGGGTCTTTAGGAGAAATTGTAGCAAGCTTTGACTTATCTTGAGACATTGCAGCATATAAAACTCTATCATGGTTGGCCTTTATTGAAGAAATTCTTTGTAAATCTGATGCTCTCCATAAAGTTATGTTATTATCAGTATAGCCATGTGTTGCAACAATTTCATTGTATTCTTTATTCCAAAATATATTGCAGATCTGAGATGTTGTTGTAGCAGTGCAGATAGTTTGTCCATTTTCAATATTGAAGATATTAATTTTACGATCTTCAAAACCACCTCCAATTGCAGCTACATTTGGAATAACTGGGTTCCAATCAACAGCTCTAACAGTTGAGTTGATGTCTTTGTATTCAAGATATGGCTCTTCCAATTTCCTGAAGTCATATACTTTAACAACTGGGGCTTCTGATGTAACAATAAAATATTTTCCGGTTGGGCTAATTTTCGTAGTAATAGAGTAACTTTCAAATGCTTGAAGAATTGTAGGAGATTCATCCCCGGTTCTAGTATCGTATAATATTACCGATCCATCTTGGTTGGATGCAATTAGAGTATTCTCATTTTGTTCAATTGAGGTAATTGCAAAATGAGTGTGCTGAACAGTTTTCACAATTTTGTTTTCTGAAATATTAATCACTGATAAAACACCTTTTTCTGATCCCAAGGTAAGGTTTTCGCTATTGTTAGAGAATTTAAGTGCATAGCAATCATTAAAAGGATAAAATATTGGAATTTGGGTATTAGAATCTAAATTGTATAGAATTGGTCTGTTTATTGGTATTAAGCCTATGCAATTTTTTGAAGACCAGTCTATCGGAGATCTGTAAAAGTCTGCAGTTAAACTACCAAAATCAATTTTTGAATAAGGGCGAATAGGAATATCTTTTCGTGCCGAAAATTTTGACAATGGACTTGAAATTAAGCGAGGAGATGAAATAGAAGAGTAAAAATCTGGCATCGAAGAATGATTTTTATGTAGTAAAGGTGATTTTGGTATAGGAGATTTCACAAGAGGTGACATCATTGCAGATGAACTATTAATCTTACTTCTAGGTGTTCTTGGCGTTTGTATAATCCTATCAGTGGAATTCATTTTTACACAAACGTACAGTATTAAATTTTTAATATCGTGCTAACCATTTTTCAGTTATAGAATATCATCATTACGTTCCACAATTTTTTTTCTTTTTTTATTTTTATTTTTTTTTTTCTTCTTCAAAATGAAGGGGAGGAAAAAAGATATTGAGCAGAGAACTCCATATGAAGATATGCTTTTGGAACATATTGAGCGACTTCTTGACATGGAAACTTTCTCTAAAGATTGTTATTTAGTTTCATCAACAAATGATAATGGTGAAATTGATCTAAGTAGACTTGCTTGTTCTCCAGATCTGATAAAACTTCAAGCTACAACAGAATCTGTTAAAGAAGTTATCGAAAAATCGCTTTGGCTAAGAAATAATTTAATAATTTCACCATATCTCGCTTTAAAATTACCATTTGATATAGATACAAAATCTTTAATCCTCTATGATCTCCAAAATGGGGTTTACCAGAAAGAAATTAATCAATACACGAATTTTATTTTTGGTAATGAAAAAAACTACACTATTAAAAGGCATAAGAATGGACTTCAAATCATCTTTCAAGATTCAGCAACATTGATTGTCTTTTGGAGAACTTTAAATTATTGCATGATTAAAGGATATAACGCGAAAGCAATGGTGCTCACAAAGAAGACTCCGCATCAATATTACCTCGCACACTCTCAGAGTATGATTTTCTCTCATCCGAAAATTTCTACCCCATCAAAGAAGAAGCCCAAGAAAGAACCTCTCAAAATTATCAAATTTGATGAAAGTGACTTCCCACCATTATAATCTTCCTTTTTCGAGAGTATCAAGAATTTATTAAAAATTTGAATGGATATTCTTTTGGAAAGGTTTCCATTTTGAATTTTTCCTCATTTACAACGGAATTTAAAAAAAAAAAAAAAAAGGTAATGGGGCTTCCAGGCACTTCGTGCCTTCTAGCCCTGAAGATGATTAGTATAAATGAAGTTCTTATATACGGGTCTTCCAGGAGCTTTTCACAAATTATATATGTTTTCATGTTTTGTCACTTTTCTGTCACTTTTCAGGAAAAAACATTTTTATTATTATATATAAATGAATTTTACAAAACCACCGTTACCGTTCTTTGGAAATAAGAGTAGATGTAAAGATATTCTATTGAGAGAACTTAAGAAACTACCGAATGGTCTAACATTTGTAGATTTGTTCGGTGGAAGTTTCTATATATCCCATTTGTGCCATATAATATTTCCAGACTCAAAGATTATATGCAATGACTTCGACAACTATATGGACCGTCTCAAACATATACCAGACACAAACAATATATTGAAAGAGTTAAAAGAAAAGATACCTATAGGTAAGATGGAACGTATACCATTAGATAACAAAAATATTGTGAGAGAGGTTTTGAAAAAAGCAGAATATATAGACTGGGATAGTATATCTGCTAGACTATTATATAGTGGTTCTATAAGAGTTCATGACATTGAAACACTTATGTCAAAAGTTTTATATCTTAACTATACAAATGTTTTCAAAGAGGACATAGAAAAATATATTGAGGGTATAGAGTTTGTGAGATGTCATTGGACAGAGTTGTATGAAAAATATAAAGACAAGGAAAATGTTTTCTTTATAGTGGACCCACCGTTCTATAACACATGGGATTTTCAATACCAAGTAGACTGGACTTTGAGAGACTCTTTAGAAACTTTAGACGTTTTACATAACCATCCATGCTTTTACTTTACATCCGATAAAAGTGGTTTGGAAACCGTTATGAGATGGTTAGAGGACATACATGACTATGAGTTTAGATATGACAAGATAGAATATGAGAGAGGTCCTATAAACCGGAGAAAGTGTCATAACAAAGAAATTTTATTAGTAAGTAAATGTGGTTTGAAATAGGACTACTTGTTTTAGGTTTTTTCCATTGTGTCATTTATTTATTTGACGTGGCAGAAAAGTACAGAGAATATGAAGATGAACCAATGCCTGCAAATGTTCAGTATATGTACTCGTAAGAGATATTTTTATCTAATATTAAATGGACGCACAGAACTTAGCGAATGCACAGCAACCTGGACAACCAAACCCAGAGAATATTCCAAATGAAGTTAGAATACAAACTGCACTGGCAAACTATGGTCAAGTGCCAACAGATGTACAAATGCAAACTGCCATGTCAAATGACGCTGCGTTAGGTTTGCCACCATGGTATGCAAATATGAGATGGAAAGAGTTTTATACAAACCCTGAAGTGGGATATAAACAACTTTATGCAGATGACGCGAACACAGGAGTTGACCCAGAATATGTTTTCTACCAGAGGAGAAACAGAATGTATGAGCTCCAGTTAAAGAATGCAATGGAACTCAGAAGGAAACGTAAGAGACTAGGCGGACATTAGATTTTTACATATAGTAAAATGGGTTTCTTCAGTAGTATTGGAAACTTCTTCAGAAGAGTTGGAAGAGGTATATGGAATGGAATAAAAACCGTAGGAAAAGGAATTTGGAACGGAGTCAAAAATATTGGTAAAAGAGTAGGTCAGTTTGTTGGTATTATACCTAAAGACCCTGAACCAGAAGAACAAGCTCCTGTTATACAACAGCCTGAACCTGCACCACAGTCTAGTTGGCAACCAAATCCAACACCTCAACCGTATTAAAAAATTATATTTTTACCGTTCGATAGTAGTTGTATATGAAACTAAGTTCTAAGTAAAACGCATGGTATAATGGAATTATTCTTTTTCTTCCATCTGTAGTAAACCATACTTGAAAGTCTGAAATACTTCCACTTGGTGGTTCGTATAACTTTGTAGGTTTTTCGTAAAAGTCATTTGCCAAGCATAAGAAAGAGTTTTGGGCGCCAGAAAATGAAGCATGAACAATAATAGCATCTTGGTCGAAAACATCTTTAAATAAATATGGTTCATCTCTTGCATATCGACTGTAAATATTTGCTAAAGGAAGTTCGACTTTCTGATTTAACATTCTTTGCAAATAATACCATGACATTGCAGTGAATTCTGTATATATTTGTTCGTCTTTATTTGGATTGTCTTCGTAGATTTGAAATGACACTTGTGAATTTTGTTTGTCATATACAATTCTCACATAAAGTGTGCTATTGGTATTCGCATATTCATCAGCATATTTTGCATAACATGAATTTATTTTATCTTCTATATTTTTTAATGCAGCCTGTAGAGAAGATGAGAGGTCAACTTGTATTAGCTCAATTTCTTCCCACATTTTTCGTTGCCCTTCAGATGTATAATCTATATGAAACCTTACAATAAATGGAAAACTTTTATCTTCTACAGACACAAATTTTATTCTTCGAAAGCCAATAGCTTTTGTGACAGATGGGTCTCTTAGCCATCTTAATGGGTAGTCAAAACGATAGCCTTCATGCTTTACGGTCTCTGTCTCAAACTTTTGACCGACATTAGTAAAAAGTTCATCTAATGGTTTAGTTGTAGCAACTCTAGAATTTTCTTTTTCTATTGGAAGCATATTTTATCTAGAATAAAAATGTCGAATGAAACAGCGTCTATGAGAGAAATACAACACAACCGACAACTCATTATGCAAGCTCTAAATAAGAACACAACAAACTTTTCAAACTATTCTAAGATATCTGAGTCATTGAAAGAAGGAAACTTAAAACTGACATTAAACCCAATGACAGATGAGTTTCTGTTTCAAGACAATAAGAACCATACTGTCTGTATAAATCCAACAAAAGGAACTTTAAACGAGAAACCTATAAATGAACTTCTTTTGAAAGCAGATGTTGACAACAAAGCTGACAAAGAATATGTCATTGAAAAAGTTCAAGAAGAACATGACAGAGCAGATGCAACATATGCAACGAAAGAACATACTCATCCTGAACTAGCAGACAAAACATATGTTGACAATAAAATGTCAAGTGAAGTGACAAGAGCTGACAAAGAATATTCTAAAAAGACTCATATACATTCTATATCTGAAATAACAGACTTAAACGTTAGCCTTGAAAATAAGGTAGATAAGGGACTTATGGCTAGTGTGTTAGTGAAGAAAGCAGATAAGGAATATGTGGATGAAAAAGATAAAGAAATTATAGAAAGGGCTGAATGGTACCATGAACGGACAACAAAGATTTTAAAAACTAAAGCCGATACAGGATGGGTTTCAGGATGTTTAGACCTTAAAGCGGATAAAACTTATGTTAACGATGAGTTAGAGAAGAAAGCAGATAAGACTCATACACACGATTTCTTCGCAACTGTTGGTATAGAAAATATTGAAGGAACGGTTGAAGAACCTGATGGGGATGTATTATATTGGAAACCTCCTAACTTTCCACAAGGTTTAACATCGGATGACAACATAACGACGATGAGAAACATTAGATGTAAAGATGTTTATGTCATGAAGGATGAACATAATATTAAATTCACTGCTCAAGATTTATATGACAAGAAAGCAGACAAAACAGAGCTTCAAACATTAAAGACAGAAATACTTCAAACATTAAAGACAGAAATACTTCAAACATTATATCCTATAGGCTCTATTTATACGTCAATGAACTCTACCAGACCAGAAACAGTTCTGGGTTTTGGAACTTGGACTCAAATAGTCGACAGGTTTTTGTATTGTGCAAACTCTTCAAAGGAAACAGGTGGAAGTAAAACGATTTCAGGTGAAAATCTACCTGCACATAGTCACTACATAGATTTAAGTACATCTCAAGCAGGTTGGCATAAGCATAAATTTTGGGATTGGCACGCCTTGAAAAAAGGTAAAGGATATGATGTTAAAGACGACGTTCAGTTTGCTATAAATTGTTACTGGAGTGACACTCAGGGAGATGGAAACCATACACATCGCGTTTCAGGATATACGCAAACAACGGGACAAAGTAAAGAATACATGCCACCTTACATGACAGTTTACGCATGGTATAGAATTGCTTAGTCGTCATTTTCAACTTCTTTAGCATATTCGTCAGGAGTTGTCTTATATTTGTTAGGAACTGTCTTTGAAAGTATACCACCTTGAACTTTGACAAGTTTGAAACGAGGTCTGACAATAGTAGTTTTATCTTCTGCTTGCAATGTGTACATTTTGCCATGTTTGCCTAAAACTTCATAATATTCTCTTGTATACTTTCTTCTATTTTTACGAACACGAATGTGAGTACCTGTCGGGTTCCTATTGTTGTCATAGTCAATAGTATTTTCATATGGGTCGCGTCTAGGTATTTCTATTTTTACTTTGTCACCTTTCTGAAGTTTGAAGCCCGGCATTCTTTCTTGTTTGTCTCTTTTGACTAAATTATTAAATATATAGTCTTTCTCTAAGTCAGGGTTGTTTTTCATTTCTTCGGGGGAGTGGTTTCCCAAACCTTTTTGTTTACGGTTATTGTAAATATTTAAAACTTGTCTCATCTTTGCCTGGGAGAAGTGTCTATATTTGTCGTCATATGACATTTCATTTGCTTCACCACCTTGTGGTTGGTTTAAGTCTCTTAACATTTTTATACAACTGTCAATGACACCAAGAGCAGAATGGTTTTGGTCGACGATGAAATATTGGTTTACATTTTTTGAACGCAGATAGTTTTTTACATCATCTGATTTGAAAGAACTTTCACAGTCAGATGTCAGTTTTGTTGGATGGTATTTGTCAACGAATATTGTCAAAGCTGCTAAGATATCTAAAATAGCTTTGGACTGTAATGGTATGGCTTCACAGTATCTTGTGTTTTGACCGACAAATATTAGCCAGTATGGTGGTCCATCTTCTCTATACCTCGGAATGTTTTCCAAGATATCCATAAACCAAGCATTTGGTGTTGAACTAAAGATTTTTATCATGAGTGCTTTCTTTGTCGCTTTAGAAACATAGGGGTCCTTGTTTGGATTCGTCATTTTTACCCTATAAGAAATGGGTTTATTTGGCGCATTAGCAGGAGTTGCATCCAGATTTTTACCCGCAGTGGGAACAATAGCCAGAGGTGCATTTGGAATTGGAAGGAAGATTTTGAGTACATTAGGTATACTTAAAGAGAAAGCACAACCTATTATACAAACTGTACAGAAAGGTTGGGAGGTAGCACGAGATGCAACAAATCTTATTCCAAATCCTGAAACAAGAGGAAAAGTTCAAGGATGGATGGACAATGTAGGAAGACAAGCAGGAAACTATTATAACAAAGCAAATGACTACTATAACCAAGCAGGACACTATATGGACCAAGGTGAAAGATTCTTTAACAGAGGATATAACCATGCACAACAGTGGGTAAACAATAACCAACCTCAACCGCCTCAAACGTGGGGAATGTAAAATTTTTTACTGAGATGAAATGAACAATACAGCATTGAGACAAATGGGTTCAAGATGGATTTGTCGGCTTCCAGCAGTTACACAACGTGTTTGTCAAGTTCTTCCTATACCTCAGGAAGTTTTAGACCGACTTAAAAAACAACAACAACCAGTTGAAAACAAACCAAACTAAAATTTTTTACTGAGATGAAATGACCGAAGAAGTTGAAACGGTAGATTTGACACCACAAACAAAAAGTTCAGAACCATTGTCAAAACCTGTCAAAGAACTTACAGATGAAGAGAAAAATTCAATAATAGAAAGTGCCAGGTCTGGAAATACAAACCCTAACTATAAAGTCACTTTTCATAGAAATGGAACGGCTAGTATCTCAAAAAAGAAACAGACTCTCACAAATAAAATATTGAAGTCTGAAGGAGCTTTCGAGACAACAGATGGAAAAGTTTACTTCACTGACCAACAGTTCATTATAGAACATCTCATTGACTTAGAGTCGAAATATTCTAAACTTTACAACAAACACAAAAAGTTGAAAGGAAAACAAAAACAAATGGCATATGATATTTATGAAGATGTTGACGACACAACTGTTCCTGCAAGTGAAGTAAAGTCAGAGGAACCAAAAAGTGACGAAAAACCGATAGAAGAAGAGAAACCGATAGAAGAAGAAAAACCGATAGAAGAAGAAAAACCAAAAACTGAAGATAAACCAAAACCAAAGTTTAGTTTCCAAACTAAACCAAGTCAACCTTCATTAGCTGGTATGGGTTGGCGTCAAAGACTTATGGCAGCAGGCGGTTATGTAAAGTAAAGAAAAAAAATATTTTTTTATTTTTATAAAAATGCCCCCATATAGAATGGATAGAAAGTCTGCTAGAATAAAAGCAGAGTTACAAGGATATGGTTGGAAAGTTTCAAAGAAGTTTAAATATAGGAAGGGAAGACCCATAAAAGTCTATGACAAATTGTCTGGTCTTCGCTACGAAATGGATTTGGAAACAGCACGTGCCAATTATCCAAACAGACTAGAGAGGTTAGAAGAAGAACGTCTTATGGACATGCCTTTCGATGTTAGTGAACCTCAAGTTGAAGGACACGACGGCTTTGCCAGATTCTATTGGAAACATGACGAACAATTGCATCCTTTGAGAAGGAAAAAAGGAAAAGGTGAAGACGCACATGCTCCCATGGAAAGAACAAGATATGCATATGAAAAGTATCGTGAAGTTAGAAGTCAAATTACTTCTGGTCGAACCTTTACAGTAAACTTTGACGAAGGAAAGAACAAAGAAGGCTTCATGGGTGTACTTGCTGCCATACAAGACGGAAATAAGAAAGGATACAATCTCAGATTGACCATAACAGATTTGGATGGTCACATTTACTATGCACATGGCAATGTCACAACAGCTGCAATGCTTCTTGACGCTTTCAAGACTACAAAGAGAGAACAAATGGTTGACTCCGACTCAGCCATTTTGAATGCAATTGAAGGAATTGCAAGTGTTAAGTTCGAGTGGTACCAACCTAACCCTCAAGCAGTCAGACAACATGCTGGATACTTCCCCTTCATAAATAAGTCTGACATTGACTTGACAAGGTATGGAATTTACAATTCAATTGAAACAATTGTCAATGAACCTTGTATTCTTACATGTCTCAGGAACTCTGGTCTTGTTACAGATGAGAAGATGAAGTATCTTGAGTCATGTGTGAAGACAAGGTACATTCTCAGAGGTCAATTGGCAAAAATTGCACCGTTGGCAAATGTCAATATCCGAGTCAACATCCCTACAGCTAAAGGTTCTTCACATGACGACTATGTTGTTGAGTTCAATTTACCATGGTTGAAGATTGTAATTGTCCACAACCACTTCATGTTGAACGAAAGTCTTACAAACCCATTGTTCGGAAAAGGCAAGTGTAACATTGTCAGAGCTGTAAACATTCTTTTCGAGAAAGGTTTGTTGGAACCAATTCCAGATGACAAGCTGACAGAAACTTTTGTACCAAAAGACGAAACAAACTTTTCATTGTTAGCAAGACCAAAAGTTGTTCCAGACAAAGTTATAGTACAAAAGAAGTACACAATTCCACAAGGAGTTGGATTGTTCGGATACCAACCTGAACCAGAAGAACTTCCAATGAGGTTGCAAGAACTTCAAGATGCTATAAACAAACTTCCATTGAGACATCCAATTGACGTCAAATTGTATTGGAGAGCTTCTGAGTTAGGTCAGAAGGTTTTATATGAAACAGGTTGCTTCGACGATGTTTATGAGATAACAGGAGAAGTTTCTCAGAAGATAAGAGACTCACTTGAATTTCCACAAACTGGACCAATTGGTTGCGCCAAGTTCGACTCAAACGAAAAGATATACTATGTCGACCTTAACGCTGCATACATGAGGTTTGTCCAATATATTCCGACTGGAATTCCAAACGAAGATGGTGAGTTCCCGGGAAGGAACTATACAGTTGGAAAAGTCATACAACAACTGTATGATATTAGGAAAGCTTCAAACCCCAAACTTGCAATGACACTCAAATTGCTTATGAATTCGACATGGGGATATTCCATTAAGAAACCTCAAGAGATGAAGAGTAAACATTATGAGAAGGTCGACAACTTTGTTGAAAGGTTTTCTCCTTTTGTTTTGAAGTACGAATTCACTCAAGGTCAAAGTGGCTTAGTAACCACATTAAAACCTATTGTCGAACATTGGTCTCACCCTCAGTTCGCAAAGGCAGTCCTTGACAACTACAATGAGTTCTTCTCCGAAGTCAAATCGAAAGTCAAGGTTTACTATGAGAACATTGACGCACTCATGACGAACGAAGAAGGCTATAACAAACTCATTGAAATGGGTTTAGTCGGTGAGAAGATGGGCTGTTTTAAGCTAGATAAGGTATTTTCCGAAGTTCATGTCCTCTCCAAGCGTAAGTACTGGGGCATACTTGAAGACGGCACAGAAATAAAACATTGCATGAAGTAAAAACGTTTTTCAAAAAAGTGACATTTTTTAAATTTTATTTGAACTGTACGCTGAGTTTGTTGGAGAAGACCGTTGGGAAACTTGTTTGTTAGATGAGAAATATGAAATGGCATACCATTTTAAAACAATATATTTTTACATATATTAAATGCTTCAGGTTGAAAAACAAAGAACAAAAGTAGCAGATACAAAACCGTTAGACTATATCTTTACAAATGCTGGTAGGAATATATCAGATGAAGAAATTTCATCCCGAACATACAGGTTTGACTATCCAATTCGTTGGCTTCAAAGTCCTTCAGATGCAAAGGCAATAGGATTTAGAAGAGTTTTGTTTTCAAATAGAACTAACGCGTTTATGTTCGTAGTATATTTTCATGGGCAGTATAAAGGTTCTGATGGTCTAATAGACAAATTTGCCGAAATGAGAATCTTTACAGTTCGTTCAGACGAAAGTCTTGAGAAAACTCTAAATGACTTTCAAACTCAAATGAACAAATATTATTGGGAATTTCAAGAAAAATACGACTCTTTACTAAATGGAACATACTATCTGAAACTAGAATATGACAAGATGAACTCCACCGTTTCATTTCAAAAGATTGAAATTAACCCTCCAAGAGATACAGAGTTTTTATTTTGGGAAGTAGACAAACGTTCTTGGGCACAATTTCTTCGGTTACTAAACCAGAACGAACCATTACCACCAGATGGTCCATTTAAATTTATACTTCCACCAGCAGATTTGACAGTTTATAGAAACGTGTTTGACCCTCAAAATGTTATGTGTCATGCAAGTTTCAGTTCAAGCAACAATAGTTTTCTATGTATTGGTAAGGACTTTTATGACTTTGCTTCTAAATTCTACGAACCACCTAGTAACAGTTTCTCTGACTTTCAAGTTTGGTTCACAACAAATGGTGTGCAACATATTATTCCATTGTACTATGACTTTTATCTCGAATTGTCTTTCATATATAACTACGGAAAAGTGCTGAAAAAGTATTGAAAAATACTTTTAGGTGAAGAGGTGAGATCTCACCTGTTTTTTCACCTCTTTTCTCACCCGTTGAATTTTCATGACTTCTTCGTAAATGTTTTGTCAAGACTTCTTCGTAAAGGACCCAAAAATATAATTTAGGGTAGATGGTTAGATCTAACCTGTTTTCTACCCTCTTTTCTAACCTCTTGAATTTGTCAAGACTTCTTCGTAAATGTTTTGTCAAGACTTCTTCGTAATGAGTGTAAAGGACCCAAAAATATAATTTAGGGTAGAAGGTTAGATCTAACCTGTTTTCTAACCTCTTGAATTTTGTATAAAAAGCAACCGCCGGAATTCCGGCGATTGCTATATTCTTCACAAAATGCTTGTTTTGAGGTCGAGCCACTTTTGGCTCCACCGTATTCTTTCAACCAAAACTCATGAATTCGGCAAAAATATAATTTAGGTGAAGAGGTGAGATCTCACCTCTTTTCTCACCCGTTTTCTCACCCTCATGAATTTTCATGAATTTCCTTAAGACAGATGAAATAAAGTTAGTTTTTTTAAAAAAATATTTTTTATTTTTATTGTAAGAACATGTTAGCAACAACAGCACCAAACTCGTTAGTCATGAACCCAACTTCAATGTTAGTAGAGATGAAAAGCTTCATTCCTTCTTCATATACTTTCGAAACAGAAATCCAGAAGATAAAGCAAGAACTTTTAACAAGTAATTTAGACTGTACCGCACAGGATGAAACAAATGAACAATATCTTTATGAAATGCAGGACATTATTGACCATCTACCTAAACTTCCTGAAATCCAACAACAAAAGCTCACTATTCCTGAATTCGACGAAATTGAAGTCAAAGCAACTGACTCAGTAGAAATAAAGAAGTTCATACGAAAGGTAAATTATGAATTCCTTGGTTTTCATTGCAACCATAAGGTTATGGACAAAGATTGCGACATGGTATATAAGAATGTTTCTGACATATATAAATCTGAAGAATTTAAGACCTACGACAACTTTGTTTCGTTAGTTGCTGAATGTGTATGGCAGATAAGAGATAAAGATAGAAGAGGTAAGGTATGGAACGAACAGATAAAACCAGCAGCTTTTGAGATGAAGAGAGCAATTGACGCTTTAGTTGTTTTAGCAGGTAAGGTTTCAGAATATAACGCAAAAATGAACCCGCAATGTTCAAAATGTAAAGCAGCAATTAGGAAATATAACTACTCCGTCAAAGAGATAGAACGTATGCGAAACGACTATGCTGACTTAAAGAAAGAAGCAGAAAAGCCAGCAGAAGATAAAATGGATATGTTAGAATTTCTAAACAAAAACTATCCAACTGCTGACGATTTCCTTTTATCTGACGTCAAGAAGAAATATAAAGAAACTTTCGGCATTGTTAAAACTTTTGACATACTGACAGAAGAAATAGAAGCTACGAAATTGTTTAGGATTTCAAATATACATCGTACAATTCATGTAAAACGCTTGTGAAAAAACAGGTGAGAAAAGAGGTGAGAAAACAGGTGAGATCTCACCTCTTCACCTAAAATATATTTTTATTGAATTCAGCAACAAAATTCTGAGTAAAATGGCTTGTGTCAAACCGTTGAGTTTTCACAAAATTTAAAAAATAACGTTTACCATGTAAAACGCTTATAAAATAACAGGTGAGAAAAGAGGTGAGAAAACAGGTGAGATCTCACCTCTTCACCTAAAATATATTTTTGTCTGATTTACGCTCATTACGATGAAGAAGTCTTGACAAAACATTTACGAAGAAGTCTTGACAAAACATTTACGATGAAATCATGAAAATTCATGAGGGTAGAAAAGAGGTTAGAAAACAGGTTAGATCTAACCTTCTACCCTAAAATATATTTTTGCTGAATTCAGCAACAAAAATCTGAGTAAAATGGCATAAGATTGCTTCCCTCGGAAACAGTGAAGAACAGCGAGTACGAGAAAATCCGTAGTCGCCAAAACTCTATGAAAATCATGAAGCACAGCGAGACCGACTTTTTTCGGGGTCGCCAAAACTCTATGAAAACAGTGAAATTTCTCTAGACCGACTTTTTTCGGGGTCGCCAAAACTCTATGAAAACAGTGAAATTTCTCTAGACCGACTTTTTTCGGTCTTGCATAAAACTCTATGAAAATCGTAAAAATTGCGAGTAGGGAAAAAATCTTACTCGCCAAAACTCTATGAAAATCGTGAAAAAATGACCAAATTTCATTATATAACTGTTATTTTTTGACGAAGAGAACTTTTGCACTTCGTAAAAAAAATCCCTGAAATCATATCTTTTATACAAGATAGAAAAAATAACGCTAATTTTTTAAAAAAATATTTTTTATTTTGTATGTAAGAACATATATGTTAAACACTGAGTTTGAAACAGTTAGAAAGATAGACAATGACACCAAGGTGGTTAGAATCGGTGATTTAAACGTAAGATACTCAAAGAAATACAACAAATATTCTTTGTCAGACATTCTAACACTATCTGGAAAGAAAACATCCCACGACTGGGTTAGAACTGCTTCTACTCAGAAAATTTTGACAAGAAATCCTGAGCTTATGATATCGGTAAGATTCTATGGAACTGCAGCATATCTCATCGACAAAAGTCTTATACCAATAGTTTTGTTATGGTTAGACCCAGTTGTTGGATATAACTTCATAACATATGGTTCATTCGATACGGAACGTTGCAGTGAAGGCTTACTTTACATCGTTCAGAAACCGAAGGACTTCAATACAAAGAGATATAAGATAGGAAGAACATATAATATAACTCTAAGATATGACTCTACAGTCAATAGAGTTAAGGTTGTGTTCGTTAACGATATGAGAGCTGCAGAAACAGAACTACTTGAAAAGTTTGAGAAAATGTATGGTGCTCCCACGAAAGGTAAAGAAACGTTTGAAGTAGATGAGATAGATAAAGCTATAAAATTATTTGACGAAGTTGCTGAAAAATACATGTAAAGCGTTTATTTTTGGTCTTTTGTGAAAGTCAGAAAATAAAGTTAGTTTTATTTTTATTTATTTTTTTATCCGGAATGTAAAGACAGATATGTCAACAACAGAGAACACAACAACAGTTATAGTCCATGAAGCTATAAATGAAGAATATGAGTACATACAGTTTAACAAACAACTCCGTCTCATTCGTTCGGTCAAAGACGATATGTACCAAATGCAAAGTATTTTGACAGCATGTTTTGCTCCAGATACCAAACATACAGACGACTGGTTCAGAAACCAAAGCACACAAGAACTTTTGAGTGAAATTTCTCTAGACCGAGAATTCTCGGTCTTGCATAAAACACATGAAAATCGTAAAAATTTGCCAAATGGTTTGAGAGGTTGGTATGTACATAGACTTCTTGTAAATGCTGTAGCAATGTGGGCTTCACCTCGTTATGCTTGGTATATTTACAGACTTCTTGACGAAATTCATAGACAAGAACGTGAAGAGATGGAAAAGAAACTTCAAGCAAAAGATGAAGTCATTGAAGCAAAAGACAAAAGCATTCAGAAAGAATACCACGTTCGGTACCAAAAGGAAAGGAAAAAGAACTATAAGTATATGATTTATACTGAAGAGATGGAAAATGAAGAAGATAAAGATATGGTTATGTTGCATTTAGTCAGAAGAAACAACAAAAGCTTTTACGACCTTGCTAAGATTTACAAATCTGACAGAAATTGGTTCTATCGCGAAAACTTACCGATTTCAATGACTCCAAATGAAGATGTGAAACAAATAGTTCAAGATACGTTACCTCAAACACACTATGATATGAAAGGTTGTACAATTCTTACCTTCAAAGAAGATTTGCCATTGTTAAAGGAAAAAATAACAGAGTATTTTGACAACTTCAAACAAGCAGAGTAAATGAACCATTTATTTTTACGCTTGACTTCAGATGGCTCGAGTAGCTCTAGATGGTAAATTGGCTTGTCAAATCCTTCTGGCATTCCGAGTCCTTCCATCCGACATTCCGAGTCCTTCCTTCCGACATTCCGAGTCCTTCCTTCTGGCATTCCGAGTCCTTCCATCCGACTGGAAAAAAATTTCCCGACAACAGGAAGAACTCTTGCATCCGACAGGAAAAATTTTTCCATCAGACAGGAAAAATTTTTCCAGTTGTCCGACCAAAAACCATTCAAATTTTCGAAAATTGAGAACTTTTTGGTCGAACGTCAGGAAAAATTTTTCCATCAGACAGGAAAAATTTTTCCTTCCGACAGAAAAAATTTTCCATCAGACAGGAAGAACTCTTCCATCAGACAGGAAGAACTCTTCCATCAGACAGGAAGAACTCTTCCATCAGACAGGAAGAACTCTTCCATCAGACAGGAAGAACTCTTCCTGAATGCCTTCCAAAGCCAGAAGAACCGACAGCCCCAGAACCACAACAGACTTACTAAGACTAAACACTTACATTTTTACGCTTGACTTTTTACAATTTGAACTTTGTTCGCGTAGATATGAATTCTGAAAGAAGTATGAGGGTCTTGTATGACTTTGTACTTCTCCCATAGTTCATGTCTGTCAAACTTACCTGCCATGGACTCTTTCATAAGTTCCATGAAATCGTCTTCGGACAATCCGGGGAAAAGTATAATGTCAGTAAGTATTCTTTTAACATCCTTACTTAAACTCTTTGCTGTCTGTACACAAATGACAACTGAGATGTTAAAGTGTCTGAGCTTCTTAAGAATTCGACACATATCTTGTTCTCTATTCTTTAACAAAGGATGAGAAGCAAAGTCATCTAAGATAAGAAGACATCTGTGAGGGTACGTCTTCCAATCGTAAGATTGCAATTTCTTCGAAATGTATTCTATCTCTTTCTGTTTGTTTCTGAAGTGTTTCTTCTTCTCTAATATTCTCTGCATTTCCTCATTTGGGTCTTTAAACTTCGAATTGACATACTCATTTATAGCATTATACTTCAAAACTCTTCTTTGGTACTTCTTTATCCAATCTAACAACTCAGTATCCTTTATACATACTAACTTAGACTTCTTTATAATATCTTTGAACGAATTGACGGTTTGGTCAAATTGACCAGAAGTACTACAAATAACAACTAACTCATAGAATGGGTTCTTCTCATCTAGTTCTTGTTGTTGTGCAGCCATTTTAAGATAAGTGAAAGTCTTACCCGACCCAGGTGGTGCAATTAGACCTGTTATACCATTCTGAGCAAATAAGAACTTGTCATGTATAGGCTTTATCTGAGCATTTTCTAACTTCCTCTTGTTCTTGTTTAAAACATTCTCAAATTTCTTGTCAATGTCAGCAAACTTTTTTTCTAACATATTTTTAGAAAAATTAAAATTTTATCTTTTTGAAAATGTCTAGTGATTTCGCTATCTATATTCGAGACAAGCTTTTCGACAGCAAACATCTGTAGACCATAAAATCTTACATAGTGTAAACAAGAAAGGTGAATTTGTTCTAAAGTTCTGTTTCTGGGAATATGACAAGAACCATAAAACATTACAAAGAGCAGTCTTAAAATTTGTCAATGACAGACTTGTTGACAGAGATGACGCCGATTGGAAAGATGAAGTCCAACAAAAGTTCTTAGAATGCAAAGAAGACACATGCGCTGTTCTTGAAGATGAAATAGAAAACAGAATAGATGAGCTATTAAAGGACAAAGAACTTTTACATAAATATGGTTGCGCCAAATTTGACATAACTCCACCAGAGAAGAAGAAGAAGAGAGAAAAGAAAGAAAAGAAAGTAGAAGAAGAGAAGAAAGAACCTGAACCAGTTCCAGAGAAAAAGAAATTTGACATGTAAAAATAAAATTTTATTTTTAGAACATTTCTGGGTCAATGTCAATGTTCTCTTCCTCTTTAGGAGCAAACACCGGCTTAGACTCTAAAATCTTTTTACCCAATTTACCTTGAACTTCAACTATCTTAGACTCATAATATTCATAGTCGTCTGCTTTCTTTGGTTCATAAGGTATAACAAGTTTGTATGCTTTGCCTTCTTTAAGGTTTGAGAACTTTCTGTCAAAATTTTCTTTGACTGTTAACAAACCTTCTATGTCTAAGTCTTCAAATTTCGCACCATTTTTAGTCACAATAGCAAACTTAACTGGTGCAATGTTCCAAACTTTGTCAAATGTAGACTTTTCAAAATTGTAGAAGTAAACATTCAAATATGCGAATGGAGCTAACTTATCTTTGACTTCTGTCATGTACTTATTTACTGAGATGAATTTCGTCATCTTTTCTATCGGATAAAAAAATATTTTTTTTAAAATTTACTCAGAAAAATTTTTCTTTGTATATACACCATTCTGTACGTCTAAAAGACTTTTGACATTTGCCAAGAATGTACGTTTAGAAGCTGCCATATAACCATACTCTTGACAATATTGTTTATACGAATCGTACAATGACCTTTCATCTAATGACACAAAGTCAGTTTCATCTATGAACAGTTCATATACACTCTTGTTTGCTTCTAACAATGTTTGTCTCTCTTCGGTATGTGGAATTTGTCTTGGATTGAACTTAGAAATATCTAATGTCATGAAATATGAGAACAAGTGGTTGTAAAAGTCAGATGTCAAAGTTTCTGACAAAGCGTCAAAATATTCTGTATCTTGCATATGAGAATCTGACGTTCTGACAACTACATATCTTCTGTCAGAACTTTCTAACTTCATCGGAACAACATTGTTTGAAACCATAATGAAGTTTGCAACATTTTCACAAACTCTTTGGTCTTTATACTTTCTTTCAACAACTCCAACTTTGTCTGTTATAAGACTCTTCAAAGCATCTGAGTTCAAAACTTTTGTTGTATCTATACTTTGAAGTTCATTGCAAACTATAAGTTTCATATTCTCTATTGAGGAGTTAAACTTGCCACAGATGTTTTCTAAGTTTGTCATATTAGGGTTCGAATAACCTTCTAACAGTTTGCACAAAATATCTGTAAAGAAAGTGTTCTTACCTGTTCCTTGTTTTCCAATTATAATGAGAGCAGTTTCATTTTTAGCACTTGGATGTTGTAAGATATTTGCAAACCAACATAAGATATACTCATAGACTCTTTCGTTTCCATTGCATATAATTTCTTTGACATGGTCTAACCAAGCTTCTATAATACTGTGTTTCAATTCTACTTGTTCGTATTTATATCCAGTGAAGATAGAATAGAAGTTTGGAGAAGGTGTATAGAACTTTATACCTCGAACTGAAAAATCTTCTAACTTTGACAATAAGATATCCCAAGCATCTAACATCTTCATGCCAACTTGTACAACTTTTATTTCTTAAGTTTCTGTCTACATTCTTGTTCTGAATACTATTTGTTGCTCTTGGTTTGTTAAAGACTACATCCCATTCTTTCATAACATAACATTCTGGGGCAGAGTCGACATAAATGACTAAACGTTTCAAATTCTCGACTGCTTTGTTATAGTCTCGAAATGGACACATATTTCTGAATGCTTGGAAGTCATAAAAATCTGAAACATCTATTCTGTACATTTTTATAAAAATAAAAAAAAATATTTTTTTATTCTTGACTTTGTTGTTCCATTTGTTGCATTTGTTGTTCTTGAGCTATTTGTTGTTGAAGTTGTTCTTGTAATACAATACTTTCACCAGTTGCATCTTCCAATTCGAAACTTTCTGCCGTCATTGACAAATACATAGGACATAAAAGTTTTACAGGAACAAAGTTTGCGTCAACTAATGTCAACGTTATACTTGCCAAAGTGTTTGAGTTCACTAAGGTTGAAAATTCTGCATTCGAATGAACAATAGGCAAACCAGCAGAGAAAGTATTGTTTATACGCATAAGTATCTTTTGGTCATAATAGTTTCTGTCGACATTCGAATAACACTTTTGAACCTAAGTTTGAAACAATATATAAAATAGGTGTACTTAAAGTCAATGGAACAGACATTCCTTGTATGACACCTTTTCCTGTTATAGGAAACTGTTGGTAGTAAAGACCAGATATAAGTTTTGTATTATAGCTCATATTGTTATAGTAAACTCAGTCGGACATCCAAACATAATGAAACCTGCTCTAGTTGCAGCACATGTTACACCCGTCCTTAAAGGTATTAATAAGTCAACAAAAACCTGTTGGTGGTATATCTGAGTAAGTATCTTCAAAGGAGTATTTTTTATCATTCACAACAATAAAGTCTTCTGGTGTCAAAAGAGCAAAACAGGCTTTAGTCGTCATTGTGCTTAAGGTTAGTTTACAATATCGTCCTTGAGGACTTTGTAAGTTTGTTGTTATAGAATTATATGACTCAGGGTTTTTAGTCGTAATAGTATAAACCATTATGTCTTCTGCCATTTACTTAGCAAATAAATTTTAATGAAATGTTGTGGTCGTCAAATATTTTTATAACGTCTGGGAAACTATACTTTAAGTTCAACGTTTCACCTCCTTCATAACGTAATCTTGTCAATGACATTATATGAAACACCACAGCAACTAATGTCGGGTTCTATTTCTTTGATGTTTATATCGTCTGCCTCTGTCAAAAGTTTCAATAGTTCTTTCAAAACTTCATGAGGTGCAATGACATATGAGTTCACTTTTACAGGGTTGTGTTCGACCAAGTTTAACATTATACTTAAAGCTTGACAAATCTTCTCCTGAGTTTGAAGTTTGTCTTTCAGTTGTTGGTAGTCGTTTCGAATATCTGCAACAGAACTTAAGTCTCTGCTAACTTCAGGATATGTTGGTTGTTCTTTTACAGGAACAATTGTTATACCATCTTCGTCCTCGTATGGTTTCCCCACTTCAACATCTCTGTCTTTGACATTGACAACAACACTTTGACTGTTTGTTTGAGTTGGTGAATTTAACTTCACATCTGCCACCGCCATTAAACCTTTTGAAACACTTACGCTTCTATTTTTCGGAAATGACATTTTACTTAGAATAAAAAGATGGACGTATTTGAGTATCTCTTCGAATTGAAGCAAAACAAAGTTTACACACACAAACAATACAAATACATTGACAGAATAGTTCTTTACACAAACAATGGTAAATGTTATAGAATAGCAGTCTTTGCTGAACCAAAATATTTTCATAAAGCAAAGAAAGTTGGTATAACTGAAATGGTGAAAGTTCTTGAAGCAGACAAAAATATAACTTCAAAACTTACAGATATTTCTAAAGGTAAGTTTATAATACAATATTATGTCAAAACTGGCGTACTGTCAATATTTGACGGAGAGAAGTCAGTTCAAGAACAACTTACTGACCTGCTGCCAAAATCTGCTCGATGGAAGCTGTCGTTATGCCAATCTGAGGAGCCCCAGCAGGTTTCATCGAACGAATCTTCAAAAGAGCATCTTCCGTGAAAAGTGCTATTGGTTTTGTAAACTTCTTTGCTCTCAGTTCATCTGGACCGTCTCTGTCACCAGTATATTGTATTTGAACTGTACCAACAGTTGAAATACCACCCATAAAGTCTTCTGAGTCAGCAAATGGAATGCCAAGCCAAAAGTTTGAACGGTCTCCATTTGTATATTGAGTTTTTTGACTTCCTGTATGAGTCCATACTTTCACATATGGCATAATAGAACTTTGCATTTCAGGGTTAATGGTTGTTGTGAAGTTGTTGTTAAAGTTCATAGCATCTAATGTCAAGTTGTATGACCTCATATCCTCAACTGTAGAATATTCTTCTCTTGGATAATATTTGCCATCTATGTTTATATGATATTTAATACCGGGGTTGTAGAAACAAGAATAGTCATTTATAGTTCGTCTGAACAGTACAAACATAGTATCTGCATGTTTCATTGCAGTTGTTAAAGCAATATCTGTTCTTGCACCTGGGTCAGCACTTTGGTTTCCAACTTCACCTGCAAAGTCTTTGACAGATATTTGGTGTATAGGGAACATAAGTGGAACTGCAATATATTTGGCAGCTAAAGCATTTGAAATATCTTGGTCCAACATATAAACGGCAAGTCTGCTTTCTATTCTCTTGCATTCAAATTTTTCGCATGTGAACTTAACTGGGTCCCAAGCAGTTCCAGCAGCATTGAAATAATAGTTTACTTCAGTGTTGAAGTTTGAGAAACCAAAGTCTAAGTCAACTTTGTCTTTGCAAAAGTCGGCGAATGACGTTTGATTTGTTCCCTTTACGTCTGTAAGAGTGAATGGGTCTTGTGTTGGTGCAATGACTAAGTTATTTTTGCTTGGAGTAAGTTCGATAGAAATTTTTCCTGCCCAGTTTGGCAAGTATCTTAAAAACCTGAAGATGAGGAAAGATGACAAAGGAACTCTAAGTTTCAGTTTTACTTTAGTGGCAGCATTTCCATCTGAACCAGAAAGGTTAACATAAACTCCTGGAACGTTAGGGTCAAGTCTTCTTATTTTCTCAATAGTTGCATACTGGTCTGTTTGTTCTCTAGCTTGTGGTTGTACTGAGTTTCTCAAAGCGAACCATTCATAGTTTGCCCATGTTACTGTTTGAACTAAGTCAGAGTTAGAATATATCTTATATCCCATGAAAACTTCTGGAGCATATTGGTATCCGACATAGAAAATTCCATTGCAACCTTTCTTGTCAGACAACTTGGCAGAAGGTTTTATTTCAATGTCTTGTTCCACGTATAAGAATGAGTTGTCAATAGAAATAATATGAAACCTGTCGCATGCAATATCTACTGTTGTTGAAGAACCTTCTCCAAACTCACCTACATTTCCATAAGAAACAGCAGTTGTATATTCGTAAGTTCCAGGAACTATTTCTGACCTTCTAATGGCATTGTCGCATTCGTTATACCATTCGGAAACATTTCCGTTCATAGCATCCAAAACTGTTGGCGTAATATTCTGAGCGGCGTACATTTCATATGGGTAAAAATATAGAATAGTTGGATTTATATATCATAATAGAACCCACGTGGTACAAGCTTTACATTCTTCCTGGCTGACTTTTTAACTCTTCTTTTTCCTTCATTGCCACTACTTTCACTAGATGAAGTTACTTCTTCACTACTTTCACTTTATTCTACTCTTCTTCTTTGGTGTCGCTTTTGGTAACTTGCCCTCTGCTTCAAGTCGTTGCATCTTTGCCTCATGTTCACCTAGTATGTTGTAAATTTCCCATGTCCTTTTTGCCTTTGGGCTCTGGTCGCCCATCTCAGGTAACCAATATCCTAGAAAGATTTTGTCATAGTTTGTATTTGAGTCTTCGCGTATTGTTTGCATGACTCTTTCCTGAGTTTCCGGTTCAAGCTCTTCAAATATAGCTTGTCCATATGGAATATGCTCGTTTCCAAATATATGTTTTTGTAGCCATTCTGGTTTTCTTTCCATGTAACCAATAATATCTTTTGTGAATGGGAAAGCTTTTACCCAATCTTTCAGTCTTGCGTCATTTATTTCTGTAGTTGGTTTTATTTTGTCAAGGAACATGTTTTTCAATACTAACATTTCATTTGGTACTGTCCATTTGAGTTTTCTTAAATATTCATCCCTTCTCATTTCATTGTCTGCAAAGTAAGTTTTTATGACATTTTGCAAACTTTCGTTTGCAAGGTCATGTACAATAGGTTCTCTTCCTTCTCTCTCCCTAACTTTCTTTCTAAACTCTTCACCAAATATACCATCTCTATGGTTCTGTGTAGTTCTTTGAGATAAATGTTTTAGAACGTCAGGTGTTATATTTCCATCAGCCATGTTCATTTCATACTGGTTCAAAATATCTGCATCTTTCATATCTTTCAATGGCATTAAAGCCGCGCTGAAAATACCCATTATATCTGGTTCACCATTCACTTCCATTGCGTCTACAACTTCTTGGAATTGTGGTTGTAAGTTTATGAACCACCTATCCGGATTAGCTTTATGACCCCATCTCATTGTAGTTCCATAGTCTGCAGAAACAAAAGTAGGTTTGTTTCCATATTGGCTAGGTTCTGAATGAACTTTAAACAATGTTTCATTTCTATATGTTTTGTTGAAATTTAACCTTTTATTTTCACCGAGTTCAGCCAAAGATTGAACGTTATATGGTCGTAAGTAAAAAGGATTGTTGTATTGGCGTACATTTTCTTTCAGTACTTCCATTCTATGCTGAATATTTTCATCTGATGTTGGAGTCTTTTGTATGTCGGTAAAAATTTTTCGATATTCTTCTACTCTGTCAGCCGAATTTTTCTTAGACTCTTGGAAAGATTCCATATTCCCCGCATACACTTGTTGAGGGTCAAGATTTTTCGGCTGTTCCAAATCTTCATCTAGTTCTGTGAAGTTAGTTTCCAAAGGAGGGACTTGTTCGTTTCCTTCAGGCTCTTCTAGCTGTTGTTGCTGAACTATTTCTTCCATGTCTGGTTGTATCTGAACTTCTTCCTGTTGAGTTTCTTGTACCTCATCTGGTGGCATTTCATATATTCCGAGACCGTTTTTAACAAGTTCCCTATTTAAGTCATCCGCATTCATAACCCTTTTTTCTTTCGTTCCGTCTCTATTTTTTACGCGTTTCATGAAGATAGTTGAATTATCATTTATCTCTGACACCAAATATCTCGGAGTATATTCATTCATGTCACTTGGATGATATGCTATTAAATCATATCCCTTAGCGAGCTTGTATTTTCCAGGTTTGAGATTATATCCGATTTGGTGCTGAGCCATAAAGCTAAATAGGTTCGGGTCAGTATTTCCTTCATTGAACTTTCTAATAGCTTCTTTATATCTGTCACTAAAGTCAATAGTATCTGGGTAACCATACTCTTCTTTAAGCATTTTTAAGAATTCTTGGTTTCCTTGTTCTCTACTTCTTTTATGTCCTTGCTCTGTTTGTGGTTGTTGTTGTGCAGGGTTTTGAACTGTTGGTTGCTGTGCTGGTTGTGGAGATGGTTGTGGTGCTGGATTTTGAACTGTTGGTTGTTGTTGTTGTTTTGGTTGTTGTGCAGGGTTTTGAACTGTTGGTTTTGGTGCTGGATTTTGAACTGTTGGTTGTTGTGTTGGTTTTGGTGCATGCTTGTGTCTGTGTCCATGTGACGATGTAAATGTTTTAGGTAGTCCTGGTGCAGGTGCTTCTCTTGGAGGGTTTGGTGGTATATAAGTTCCACTAGCTAGTATATAAGTTCCACCAGCTGGTATATAAGTTCCACCAGCTGGCACATATGTTCCATCTGCAGCATAATGTCCTACCTGACTTTTCGTTCTTAAGAAAGCATTTACTAGGTCTGTTTTGGTCTGTTGTAACTCTTTTTCTTGACTTTCCACAACAGTTGCTCTAACGGCGTCATAGGCACTTTGAACTGCCTGTCTCGTTGCTGCATCTGTTATTTTCGTCATATTTTGTGCTACTTCTCTTAACTCTTTGTCGAAACCTTCAGACTTCAGTTTCTTTCCAGATGAGAAGTCGTTCACTAGTTTCACCTTACTATGAAGAGCTTCGAAGGCGTTCTTAAAGTCAGCATTCATTAAAGCTTCATTTGAACTGTCTTCATCCGCTTGTATTTTTGTCCTTATTGACCCTATAAGTTGGGCTGCTTTAGCGTTGGCTTGGGCATCTAACCAGTCATTGTTAGCTTTTATATATTCTGCGCTTTTCATTGCCTTTTGCATGGCTGCGTCGTTATTTTTACTTTCTTGTGCTAAGTTTTCATACTGTACGGTTTGGTTTTGCAACTGTAAAAGTTTTTCTGCCTTTACATTTGCTTCAACTTCATTTTTATACTCATCGCTATCCATATATGTCTTCAGGGCTTTTTGTTTTATTTCTTCATCTTTCAGTACTTTATATTGAGTAGTATGGTTTTTCAAATTTATAACATCTTGTTCCATTTTTGCTACTTCTGCTGCTTTTTCTGACACTTTTTTCGCATATTCCTCTGTACTTAGTTCTTTCAGTTGTTCTTCTTTCTTCTTTTTCTCTACGTTTAACTCATTGAGTTTCTTTGTGTGTCTGTCATATTCTAGTTTCTTTTCGTTTTCACTTATTTGTTTCTGTATGTCTATGTTTGACTTTTTGACATCTGTTATTTGATTTTTGAGTGAACTCAAATTCATTTGACTTTGAGGGTTATAAGCTGTTCCGTCTGCAGCTCCACCATAGCCTGCCATTTTCGCTAAAAGTGCCGCTCTTAAACCTCCACTCTGTGCACCAATAACTCGGTTTAAAAGCATAGGGTTGCTTGACATTTGTTGCAACATAGTGGGGTCATTCAGCATTTGTTGTTGCAACTGTTGTTGTGGTGTCAGTTTTACTATTGGATGTTTCAATGCTCCCTTCCTCTTACGTATATTCTTACGTAGCTTACGTGGCATTTTAAATGAAGTTAAAAAGCGGTTTTTGACAGATGTTTATATGACACTTGACAAAACATTTACGAAGAAGTCTTGACAAATTCAAGAGGGTAGAAAAGAGGTTAGAAAACAGGTTAGATCTAACCTTCTACCCTAAATTATATTTTTGGGTCATTTACACTCATTACGAAGAAGTCTTGACAAAACATTTACGAAGAAGTCTTGAAAATTCAAGAGGGTAGAAAAGAGGTTAGAAAAGAGGTTAGATCTAACCTTCTACCCTAAACATTATTTTTGGGTCATTTACACTCATTACGAAGAAGTCTTGACAAAACATTTACGAAGAAGTCTTGAAAATTCAAGAGGGTAGAAAAGAGGTTAGAAAGGAGGTTAGATCTAACCTTCTACCCTAAACATTATTTTTGGGTCATTTACACTCATTACGAAGAAGTCTTGACAAAACATTTACGAAGAAGTCTTGACAAATTCAAGAGGGTAGAAAAGAGGTTAGAAAAGAGGTTAGATCTAACCTTCTACCCTAAACATTATTTTTGGGTCATTTACACTCATTACGAAGAAGTCTTGACAAACCATGAAAACATATATAATTTGTGAAAAGCTCCTGGAAGACCCGTATATAAGAACTTCATTTATACTTATCAACTTCAGGGCTAGAAGGCACGAAGTGCCTGGAAGCCCCACTACCTTTTTTTTTTTTTTTTTTTTTTTTAATTTTATGATAATTAACAGAATTTTGTTTCAAAATGATCTATTTTGAAGTAAAAATTGAAATCAAAGAATTAAAGACAAAAATAGGACAAAAATCTTCAAAGAAGCTAATTATCCATTTATAAAAAGAATTTCCCGTGAATTTGTATTGCATTTCTCAAGTCCTTTCTTTTCTTTATCAGGTATTATAGTAATAAAATCTCCTTTTTTCTTTGTTTTCATTCTTCAAGAAATTTCTTATTCAAAAAATTTCAATTGAATTATTAAATTTTGGAACGTGATATGATGATTTTGATTGACAGAAGGAGATAACATATTTCATCCAGGTCAGGTAAGTGGGGCTTCCAGGCGCGTTGCGCCCTCTAGCCCCGGAGAAACTAGAGGAGGAATGATACAAAGACCAGATGAAAAAAATAAAAATATTATAATAAAATTAAATTTTTAGTCTTAAATTGTTTTTTTTATTCGGTATATTCTGAATCTTGAATGTCTTGGAAATTTTCTTCTTCTTCGCTCTCTGAGGTGAGGATTTCTTCGACTTCTTCTTCTTCGCCATTGGGAGCAACAAATCCTGCGATGAAAACTTTGTATATACCTTCTTGAGGAGTCTCTATGATGAAAGTCGTATTGTTGAGGAAATGGAACTCGACATCTTGAACAAATTGGCAACTGCTGTGTGTGAATTTTGCAATTGTGAGAGGCTTTCCTTTATAGCCCTTGGGAAAGCTTGAGATAGTTACTGTTCCTCCATATGGAACTCTGGCAGGAATATCTAAAGCAACAGTTGTTATAACGTGGAAATTGTCTTGAAATTCTGGTAAAGGTTCAATGCAGTATAGTCGTTTTGACTGGTTGTCTTTTGTGTAGAAATATAAATAGAATGACCTTTCACCATGTTCATTCAATTCTTCCAAATAATTGTATGAATTTGGATATAAACGGACAAATTCAGCAATTTTAACTTCTTGTAAATGCTTCTGCAAGTTCTTTGGAAACAAGTGAATGAACTGGTCAATAGCTTGCAACGCTATGAGATTGGCAGTAACGGGTAAATATGAAGCAAACATGTCAACAAGTACGCCAGGGTCTTTGATTTCGTTTTCAAGAGGCTGAATGGCATCCATGACAGCTTGAAACATCTCGTTATAATCTCGATTGTCTTCTGAACCCCACTGTTCATTTAACTTATCTAACAATTCTAACCTTTTCTTTGCGTATTTTCTAAGAACTTTCTCTGAAAGAGGAGTGTCGCTATCTTGTGTGTCTTGAATTTGAGACTTAAATTGTTTGCTAAAGGCGAGATATCGTGTTTGCAACCTAGTGGTCATTGTAGAATGTGTTTCTGTATGTTCGATTGGATGTGTTTCTGTATTTTCGGGTGGTTGTGTTTCTGTATGTTCGATTGGATGTGTTTCTGTATTTTCGGGTGGTTGTGTTTCTGTATGTTCGATTGGATGTGTTTCTGTATTTTCGGGTGGTTGTGTTTCTGTATGTTCGATTGGAATCTGATTGGTATGAACTTCTTCTGAAAATGCTTCTGTTCCGATAGTTGTTGTTGCCTGACCTGTTGGCTGAGCTGTTTCTTTGTGCAAATGCATATTGTCCAACAAATTGTCTTGAATTGTATGAGGAAGTTGTTTTGGTATTATAGGAGGTCGTAAGGGTTTTGAGAATGGTGAGACATAAGTTGTAGGAACTTTAACTGCAGAGGTAGTCGACGAATTGTTTGCGACACTTTTTCTTCCTTCCATTATGAAAAATGAACCGTTTTTTTCGGACTACTCATAGAAAAGTTTAAAATAAACCGTTTTCGTCAACGGAGACCCCCCTCTATTTTTTTATTTTATTTAATAGTTACCGTTGGAAAACCGTTCCATCTCAAATATTGAATGAACTATAAACGTTTTTTGTTTTCTATATATACTTTTTTGTCCAACGGTAAAACTTTTTACACAACGGTTTTTGAGAGTCGTCGCCGGTGACTTTTTTGTAGAGCACTCAAAATAGTATAACTTTGTCCGGACAAGTAAGGGTCTATCGTCGCTACAGGAAAAGTTACAGGCGTTCCAAGGAAGTATACTTTGAGAAGCCTTTTCCCCTTATAGAATGAGATAGGACGGTTATTTTACAAAACTGACAACACTTTGACCGAGTAGTTTTTTGAGCTGAACAAAAAGTGTCATATAAACATCTGTCAAAAACCGCTTTTTAACTTCACTTAAAATGCCACGTAAGCTACGTAAGAATATACGTAAGAGGAAGGGAGCATTGAAACATCCAATAGTAAAACTGACACCACAACAACAGTTGCAACAACAAATGATGAATGACCCCACTATGTTGCAACAAATGTCAAGCAACCCTATGCTTTTAAACCGAGTTATTGGTGCACAGAGTGGAGGTTTAAGAGCGGCACTTTTAGCGAAAATGGCAGGCTATGGTGGAGCTGCAGACGGAACAGCTTATAACCCTCAAAGTCAAATGAATTTGAGTTCACTCAAAAATCAAATAACAGATGTCAAAAAGTCAAACATAGACATACAGAAACAAATAAGTGAAAACGAAAAGAAACTAGAATATGACAGACACACAAAGAAACTCAATGAGTTAAACGTAGAGAAAAAGAAGAAAGAAGAACAACTGAAAGAACTAAGTACAGAGGAATATGCGAAAAAAGTGTCAGAAAAAGCAGCAGAAGTAGCAAAAATGGAACAAGATGTTATAAATTTGAAAAACCATACTACTCAATATAAAGTACTGAAAGATGAAGAGATAAAACAAAAAGCCCTGAAGACATATATGGATAGCGATGAGTATAAAAAAGAAGTTGAAGCAAATGTAAAGGCAGAAAAACTTTTACAGTTGCAAAACCAAACCGTACAGTATGAAAACTTAGCACAAGAAAGTAAAAATAACGACGCAGCCATGCAAAAGGCAATGAAAAGCGCAGAATATATAAAAGCTAATAATGACTGGTTAGATGCCCAAGCCAACGCTAAAGCAGCCCAACTTATAGGGTCAATAAGGACAAAAATACAAGCGGATGAAGACAGTTCAAATGAAGCTTTAATGAATGCTGACTTTAAGAATGCCTTCGAAGCTCTTCATAGTAAGGTGAAACTAGTGAACGACTTCTCATCTGGAAAGAAACTGAAGTCTGAAGGTTTCGACAAAGAGTTAAGAGAAGTAGCACAAAATATGACGAAAATAACAGATGCAGCAACGAGACAGGCAGTTCAAAGTGCCTATGACGCCGTTAGAGCAACTGTTGTGGAAAGTCAAGAAAAAGAGTTACAACAGACCAAAACAGACCTAGTAAATGCTTTCTTAAAAACGAAAAGTCAGGTAGGACATTATGCTGCAGATGGAACATATGTGCCAGCTGGTGGAACTTATATACCAGCTGGTGGAACTTATATACTAGCTAGTGGAACTTATATACCACCAAACCCTCCAAGAGAAGCACCTGCACCCGGACTACCTAAAACATTTACATCGTCACATGGACACAGACGCAGGCATGCACCAAAACCAACACAACAACCAACAGTTCAAAATCCAGCACAGCAACCACCTCCACAACCAGCACAGCAACCAACAGTTCAAAACCCTGCACAGCAACAACAACCAACACAACAACCACCTCCACAACCAGCACAACAACCACCTCCACAACCAGCACAGCAACCACAAACAGAGCAAGGACATAAAAGAAGTAGAGAACAAGGAAACCAAGAATTCTTAAAAATGCTTAAAGAAGAGTATGGTTACCCAGATACTATTGACTTTAGTGACAGATATAAAGAAGCTATTAGAAAGTTCAAGGAAGGAAATGCTGACCCGAACCTATTTAGCTTTATGACTCAGCATCAAATCAGATATAATCTCAAACCTGGAAAATACAAGCTCGCTAAAGGATATGATTTAATAGCATATCATCCAAATGACATGACTGAATTTACTCCGAGATATTGGATGTCAGAGATAAACGATAATTCAACTATCTTCATGAAACGCGTAAAAAATATAGACGGAACGAAAGAAGAAAGGGTTATGAATGCGGATGACTTAAATAGGGAATTTGTTAAAAACGGTCTCGGAATATATGAAATGCCAGCTGGTGGAACTTATATACCACCAGATGAGGTACAAGAAACTCCACAGGAAGAAGTTCAGATACAACCAGACATGGAAGAAATAGTTCAGCAACAACAGCTAGAAGAGCCTGAAGGAAACGAACAAATCCCTCCTTTGGAAACTAACTTCACAGAACTAGATGAAGATTTGGAACAGCCGAAAAATCTTGACCCTCAACAAGAGTATGAGGTGAATATGGAATCTTTCCAAGAGTCTAAGAAAAATTCGGCTGACATAGTAGAAGAATATCGAAAAATGTTCGCCGACATACAAAAGACTCCAACATCAGATGAAAATATTCAGCATAGAATGGAAGTACTGAAAGATAATGTACACAAATACAACAACCCTTTTTACTTACGACCATATAACGTTCAATCTTTGGATGAACTCGGTGAAAATAAAAGGTTAAATTTCAACAAAACATATAGAAATGAAACATTGTTTAAAGTTCATTCAGAACCTAGCCAATATGGAAACAAACCTACTTTTGTTTCTGCAGACTATGGAACTACAATGAGATGGGGTCATAAAGCTAATCCGGATAGGTGGTTCATAAACTTACAACCTCAATTCCAAGAAGTTGTAGACGCAATGGAAGTGAATGGTGAACGAGATATAGCTGGTATTTTCAGCGCGGCTTTAATGCCATTGAAAGATATGAAACATGCAGATATTTTGAACCAGTATGAAATGAACATGGCTGATGGAAATATAACACCTGACGTTCTAAAACATTTATCTCAAAGAACTACACAGAACCATAGAGATGGTATATTTGGTGAAGAGTTTAGAAAGAAAGTTAGGGAGAGAGAAGGAAGAGAACCTATTGTACATGACCTTGCAAACGAAAGTTTGCAAAATGTCATAAAAACTTACTTTGCAGACAATGAAATGAGAAGGGATGAATATTTAAGAAAACTCAAATGGACAGTACCAAATGAAATGTTAGTATTGAAAAACATGTTCCTTGACAAAATAAAACCAACTACAGAAATAAATGACGCAAGACTGAAACGTTGGGTAAAAGCTTTCCCATTCACAAAAGATATTATTGGTAACATGGAAAGAAAACCAGAATGGCTACAAAAACATATATTTGGAAACGAGCTTATTCCATATGGACAAGCTCTGTTTGAAGAGCTTGAACCGGAAACTCAGGAAAGAGTCATGCAAACAATACGCGAAGACTCAAATACAAACTATGACAAACTCTTTCTAGGATATAGGTTACCTGAGATGGGCGACCAGAGCCCAAAGGCAAAAAGGACATGGGAAATTTACAACATACTAGGTGAACATGAGACAAAGATGCAACAACTTGAAGCAGAGGGCAAGTTACCAAAAGCGACACCAAAGAAGAAGAGAAGAGTAGAACAAAGTGAGAGTAGTGAAGAAGTAACTTCATCTAGTGAAAGTAGTGGCAATGAAGGAAAAAGAAGAGTTAAAAACTCAGTCAGGAAGAAAGTAAAGCTTGGTCCGAGTGGGTTCTATTATGACATAAAATCCAACTATTCTATATTTTTACCCATATGAAATGTACGCCGCTCAGAATATAACGCCAACAGTTTTGGATGCCATGAACGGAAATGTTTCCGAATGGTATAACGAATGCGACAATGCCATTAGAAGGTCAGAAATAGTTCCTGGAACTTACGAATATACAACTGCTGTTTCTTATGGAAACGTAGGTGAGTTTGGAGAAGGTTCTTCAACAACAGTAGATATTGCTTGCGACAGGTTTCATATTATTTCTATTGACAACTCATTCTTATACGTGGAACAAGACATTGAAATAAAACCTTCTGCCAAGTTGTCTGACAAGAAAGGTTGCAATGGAATTTTCTATGTCGGATACCAATATGCTCCAGAAGTTTTCATGGGATATAAGATATATTCTAACTCTGACTTAGTTCAAACAGTAACATGGGCAAACTATGAATGGTTCGCTTTGAGAAACTCAGTACAACCACAAGCTAGAGAACAAACAGACCAGTATGCAACTATTGAGAAAATAAGAAGACTTGACCCTAACGTTCCAGGAGTTTATGTTAACCTTTCTGGTTCAGATGGAACTGCTGCACTAAAGTAAAACTGAAACTTAGAGTTCCTTTGTCATCTTTCCTCATCTTCAGGTTTTTAAGATACTTGCCAAACTGGGCAGGAAAAATTTCTATCGAACTTACTCCAAGCAAAAATAACTTAGTCATTGCACCAACACAAGACCCATTCACATTACTGTAGCTGGAACTGGTGGAGCCAAGTTCTGTGACTTTTGCAAAGACAAAGTTGACTTAGACTTTGGTTTCTCAAACTTCAACACTGAAGTAAACTATTATTTCAATGCTGCTGGAACTGCTTGGGACCCAGTTAAGTTCACATGCGAAAAATTTGAATGCAAGAGAATAGAAAGCAGACTTGCAGTCTATATGTTGGACCCAGATATTTCAAATGCTTTAGCTGCCAAATATATTGCAGTTCCACTTATGTTCCCTATACACCAAATATCTGTCAAAGACTTTGCAGGTGAAGTTGGAAACCAAAGTGCTGACCCAGGTGCAAGAACAGATATTGCTTTAACAACTGCAATGAAACATGCAGATACTATGTTTGTACTGTTCAGACGAACTATAAATGACTATTCTTGTTTCTACAACCCTGGTATTAAATATCATATAAACATAGATGGCAAATATTATCCAAGAGAAGAATATTCTACAGTTGAGGATATGAGGTCATACAACTTGACATTAGATGCTATGAACTTTAACAACAACTTCACAACAACCATTAACCCTGAAATGCAAAGTTCTATTATGCCATATGTGAAAGTATGGACTCATACAGGAGGTCAAAAAACTCAATATACAAATGGAGACCGTTCAAACTTTTGGCTTGGCATTCCATTTGCTGACTCAGAAGACTTTATGGGTGGTATTTCAACTGTTGGTACAGTTCAAATACAATATACTGGTGACAGAGACGGTCCAGATGAATTGAGAGCAAAGAAGTTTACAAAACCAATAGCACTTTTCACGGAAGATGCTCTTTTGAAGATTCGTTCGATGAAACCTGCTGGGGCTCCTCAGATTGGCATAACGACAGCTTCCATCGAGCAGATTTTGGCAGCAGGTCAGTAAGTTGTTCTTGAACTGACTTCTCTCCGTCAAATATTGACAGTACGCCAGTTTTGACATAATATTGTATTATAAACTTACCTTTAGAAATATCTGTAAGTTTTGAAGTTATATTTTTGTCTGCTTCAAGAACTTTCACCATTTCAGTTATACCAACTTTCTTTGCTTTATGAAAATATTTTGGTTCAGCAAAGACTGCTATTCTATAACATTTTCCATTGTTTGTGTAAAGAACTATTCTGTCAATGTATTGTATTGTTTGTGTGTGTAAACTTTGTTTGCTTCAATTCGAAGAGATACTCAATACGTCCATCTTTTTATTCTAAGTAAAATGTCATTTCCGAAAAATAGAAGCGTAAGTGTTTCAAAAGGTTTAATGGCGGTGGCAGATGTGAAGTTAAATTCACCAACTCAAACAAACAGTCAAAGTGTTATTGTCAATGTCAAAGACAGAGATGTTGAAGTGGGGAAACCATACGAAGACGAAGATGGTATAACAATTGTTCCTGTAAAAGAACAACCAACATATCCTGAAGTTAGCAGAGACTTAAGTTCTGTTGCAGATATTCGAAACGACTACCAACAACTGAAAGACAAACTTCAAACTCAGGAGAAGATTTGTCAAGCTTTAGTATAATGTTAAACTTGGTCGAACACAACCCTGTAAAAGTGAACTCATATGTCATTGCACCTCATGAAGTTTTGAAAGAACTATTGAAACTTTTGACAGAGGCAGACGATATAAACATCAAAGAAATAGAACCCGACATTGTTGCTGTGGTGTTTCATATAATGTCATTGACAAGATATACGTTATGAAAGGAGGTGAAACGTTGAACTTAAAATATAGTTTCCCAGACGTTATAAAAATATTTGACGACCACAACATTTCATTAAAATTTATTTGCTAAGTAAAAATGTCAAAACTTCTTGAAAGATGTTTGAAGAAAAATAATATAGACTTTATTTCATGTAAAGGACTTTACACACTTTTGAACGATATGAAAGACCCTGTTTTGTTTGTTCGTGTAGACAAAGGAAAGTTCTATGTCTTTACAAAATATTTGAACTTCTTAGACAGAGAACTTCAAGAAACGCCATGTGAAAGTTTAGATGAAGTTCTTCTCCACTTTCAGAAAAACTTTTAAATATATAAAAATGGCAGAAGACATAGTGGTTTATACTATTACGACTAAAAACCCTGAGTCATATAATTCTATAACAACAAACTTACAAAGTCCTCAAGGACGATATTGTAAACTAACCTTAAACACAATGACGACTAAAGCCTGTTTTGCTCTTTTGACACCAGAAGATTTTATTGTTGTGAATGGTAAAAAATACTCCTTTGAAGATACTTACTCAGATATACCACCAACAGGTTTTGTTGACTTATTTAATACTTTAAGGACGGATGTAACATGTGCTGCAACTAGAGCAGGTTTCATTATGTTTGGATGTCCGACTGAGT